GATATCTTTTTGTGTTCCATGTTTAGATGGAGTTTTGGCTTTGCCCCACTGAGCTGCAGGTCAGCAGGCACACCATGGTCACTACAGTGGAAAAAACGGGAAGTTACTCATGTATCAAATTACTTCTCCAGTGTAAGGGCCATGTTTTCCTCTGGCCCACAAGCAGGATTGCAAACTGTGAGCAGGGAAATGGTGACATCCAGTGCTCAGATATTCTGTAAAGTGTTCTCATCCCCACCGTGCTCGTTTGTGCTTGTTCCAGTGCACAGACAGCTCCAGTGCTGGACACGCAGATGTGTTATGTCAAAGTGCTCTAAACATGAGAAACTGAACAAGAAATTCACACTTTTACCTTCAGGCTTTCTCTTTGAATGAACAACATGTAATGTGAACAACTCCAGAAACCAGGCCACAAACTGCCATGGTGGTTTTCGGTCAGCCCCTCTATAATTCTATTTATATTAACTGAAAAAGCATAAGTGGCACAGCTGATGTCAGAGATCTGTGAGGATTTTATTGCCAGGAACAGCACCTGAAGTGGACAGTTTCAACAGCAGGAGCTGTGGCTGACAGCCACGGGTCTCCATGCCTACCCCATCAGCTACTTCTTCCTCCCCTGGAGGGGGGAGCAATGCACTCTAGTCAAGGTATTAGAGAGGAGCACAAAAAACATGTAGAAATCGACAGGCAGAATGAGGTCAAACCCCTTTTCTATCCATAAGACCAAAGCAATTTATCCTAAAAGTGGGATTGTTTACAGAAATAATTTTATACTCAATGTGTTAAAAAACCCCAACAGGAACTAACTCCCTATTTACTCATTCACAGGAAGACACATGTAGCTTTAATTGCAAAGGAAATAGTTCAAAGATCACCAGGAATCCCCAAAGAACGCAGGGAAGAAGCCCACTGGCACATGGGACATGTTCCACCCTCCCCGAGGCAGCTGACAAAGAGCTGGTCAAGGCTGAGGTAACACTTCAGACAGGTTGGGATTTTTTCCTATTTTTCTTCAAATTCAGTTACTGAGACCAGGCAGGACTGGGAGTATACAAGAGCTTTCTGCACTGGTGGAGGAAAAAACCCCAGAGTGGTAAGAGAATAGAAATAACACCCTGGGCATTATTCTAAGGGAGCTTTTTGCTCAGACATCACTATCCCCAAATCCCAAAGTCTTTTTGGCTACAAGCATTAAATTATGGGCCAACCAAAGTGCCTGACACCTGCCAAACTAGTTGCATTTTCGTATTTGAAGGTTTTACCAGCTCCTGAACTCAGAAACTGTCAGCTCAGACAGCAGCTGTCCATCAGACCCACTATACTTCAATCCAAACCCTGACTCCCCCCAGTATTTATCTGTACAGACAAGCCCAGCTCCCAGAGACATGTCCTTCTGCAGCTTGGGGCAATGCACTCCAGATCACACAAGCATTCAAAACCCCTGTCCAGCACACAGCTCACTCCATACAAGCTGCAAGAGAGCTTGGAGATGCAGCCTTACAGCACCACCCCAACCAGGTTTTGAAATATTCAAAGCATTGCTGGATCCTGAACAGACCCTCACTTAGATTTGATATATAATTTTTTGTTTGTGAGTAGTTGTTCCTTCCTTTCCCCAGCACATAAAAAGGAGCCTCGAATGCTCTCAAAACCCTGCAGAGATATCTACCTTTTTATACAGCAATTTTAGTAAGCTTAAATATTACTATATCATGTTCTTATAAAATTTAAGTCACCTTATTGCTCATGATTTCTGTAAATCACAGGCGTATTTAAAGTCACAGTTACTGCCTAGAAAAGCAGCCTGGAGAGGCTGCTGGAGCACACTGCCTCACTCAGCAGTTACTCAAGGATGGCAAGAGCCACAATTAGCAGGGGCTGCAGCCGCTCAGCCTCAGTGCTCCACGGCACCAAGGAGGAATAAAATGGGAATTTTGAACATACCCTGATGCACACTCATCCATGGCAGCACTGCAGCAGCTACAGACACAGGGGGCTTTCACTGTTCCAAAGACAACTGAGCTGTGCATGCACCACCCTGGGCTGGCTCCCTCGCAGTGCCATCACGTGCCATTCGATGGGCACAAAGAACCTGCAGCCAGAACGGCTTTAAACTGAAGTTTAAATAAAGTTAATTATTTTTGAATGAATATTTCTCTTGCCCTAATGAATTCCTTAAAACAGAAACAGCTACATAAACATAAAAAATAGATCAGAAAAAGTCTGATGTGGTCTGCCATAGTTACCTTCTTCATTTTCAAAGAGATTTCCAACAGAAAACTGTATTTGGGTAGGACAGTGGAATTTGTGTCATCATGACCAAGCGATTGTGGCGCAGCGAGATGCTCCCGCGGCTCTGCGGTCCTGGTCCCCATGGAAACCGGACTCGGATATTGTCCTCCGCTCACTGGAGCACCGAGTCGGGAGCCTTTTGTGCCTGATGAGATTTCTTCCACAACCTTCCAGCAACAGACCCTATGCTTCCTCCTGACTCTTTCCTAATTGAGATGCAAATTAATCTCTGTGGCTGATTACACTTCCCTTACAGCCCCTGACAAGTGCAGCTGTAGCTGGAGTTTACAGACTTTCCAACAAGTGACTTCAGCTGCCACTGCTGGCAGGGCGCTGCCCCAGCTCCCCAGCACACAGCCCCGTGCCGGCAGCACGGCCTGTCGCCCTGTGGCCACCACCACGAGCCCGGTGTCCCTGTGGCCACCACCATTGTCCCTGTCCTCCCATGGCCCCCTTCACCGGCCCCAGCCCCCTGCACCGCACAGGGCAGGAGCGAGGATGAGGAGCAGAGCCCCAGCAGATACTTCACACCCTGCCACTGCTCCAGCACGAGCCCCAGGGACTCAGCACCGTATTGCTGTTGAACCCTTGGCACCAGGGTTTGATCCATTTCTATCCACACTTGAATCAAAACACCTTTAGCTACTGACCCTTAGCACGGGTGGTGCCTTTACACAGGACCCGGGTGCCAAGGAGAAGTGGCAAATCATCCTCAGCTCTGCCTCACTCCAGCCTTCAGCGCTCACCCCAACTGCACGGTTACAACTGGTGTGTACCAAACTCCCCTTACTTTGCCAGGATTATTGCTTTTTATTTCTCCTTCCCGTTGGCATTTTTGAGTTATCTCCATCTCCAGCCTGATAAAAGCACTTTCATTTACTGTTTGCATTGCTGTGTCCGTTTCCCTCCTGTTCTCCTCAGAGCAGCTGGCAAACAAACACTGGAGTGGAGTCACTCACCCTTCGGAAGCTGTGGAGCAATGTGGCTCCACTGGGCTCAAACATCACCTTTACACATCTACACACTCATATTCCAATTGCTGTCTCTTTTATGGATTTTAGTATATCTCAAAGTGCATCATTATCTGTAGGATGAGTTATGGATAGCTTTCTCTCCTGCTCCAGTGTCATCGTGATGGGATCTGCCCACCACATTCCCTTTGTCCCTATTTCAGGAGTTTCTCAATCCACTTCCATTTATCAGACAGACAAGTGGCAGTTGATTCACTACAGACATCACTGGTGCACAAGCAGCCACAAAAAAAGGCGGAAAAGAATGCGGGGACAGATGCTGCTCCCAACCTGTGCGGAGCAGTGCCCTGTGCTGCCGTGTCTGTGCTGCTCCTGTCGCCCTGGGGACACGCAGGGACCCCGGGGGAGACCCCCTTGGAAAGCAGGAGCACGGCCAGCTGGTGAGCTCTGCTCGCTCACAAAGTGCTGAAAAGCCCAGAGCTGAGGGGGGTCAGAACCGGAGGGCTCCAGCCGGGAGCGAGGGGCTGGAATTGTTCTGTTACTGTAACTGCTGCTGCGTATGTTAGTTCTGCTACCCTGTATTCTAGTACTGTCCACTGACTGAGAAACACACCGAATTCTGCACAGAACAGTTTTAGGAATTTGCTACATTTCTCTCATGAAACAGAAGCAGAAAAGTCAGCAAGTCTTGACTCACCTGTCAGGCACTGCCACGGTTTGTACAACCACCAACTGCCTTTGCTTTACCATGAGCACACAATTCAGTTAATAAAATACAAATCTATTTAACCACAGGGCTACTTTTAATTTATGATGACTTTTGCAAAGTATACTCGTTAAAATTTAGTCTTTAAAAAAAACAGCCAGTACTTTGAGGATATCCTGTGTTTTAAAAATGTGCATCTCAAACTAATTCATTAATGTTCTTTCAAAGATCAAAACATTTCACTGACAAACACTTTCTCAAAGTCACGTGGTTAGAAAAATACTCAAATCAAAAGCTCCCCAGAGAAAGTAAAGTGCAGTGAGTGTTGGTCTTGAGATAAGTGATGTGATTAGCAAAACAAGCTATAAAATGTCTGATGGCATTACGAGAAAATCCTGGAATGAGTGAAAAGCAGTGCTCGTGCTGTGGGTCTGTGCAGCACCCTAGAATAAAAGCCTGTGTCACAACTCCTGTCCCAGAGAGCACATCCTCTGGTTACCTTCCAGTCACTGCTGGACAACAGGTTCTGAAAATGCCCAAATACAGGCGTGGTTAGAATGAAACCAGAATTTGGAAACTGAAACATCTGTATCCAAGGACAAATCCCACCTGTCTTACTAAAGTAATGAATCCAGGTGAAGTCAACTGGAGTAGAACTTTGAACAAAGTAAGAACACGGCGGAGCTGTGCATCAGCCTGACAGACACAGTTGGTAACGTCCATCAGCGTGAAGGAAAACTGATAACAATCATTACTCACAGTTCAAAGCACTAGTGCTAAGTCCAGTCCGCCAGCAGTGAGATGGAAGCTGCTGGTTAGAGCACTCCTGTGATGTTACCATTTTATTTTTAAAACACTGGGCAACTGGGTGTGAACCACTGAAAACATCAAGCTGGACACGAAGAAAGCACTGACCCTTGCCAATAAAATCAAAGAGGAAGAATTTTCATCCAAGCCTACCTCTCTGCCGAAGGATGCTCTGAAGTGAGAACCCTACCAAGGGGAGCCTTGCCCCCTGGGAGAAAGGATACAAGCTCTGGTAGAGCGGGATGAGGGACTTGACGGCTCTGCTGGCGTTGATGCAGGTGGCACAGATCAGGCTTGGCAGCAGCTTCGCGGTCACGATCGCTCCATCGAAGAGAGGCCCGAAAAACGGCACCTGGGGACCCAAAACAGAGAAACAGGCCTCAGAACCACCACAGGAGAGGGGTGCAGCATTTTGCCATAAACCACTCTGAGCACGTTGTTCCACACACTGAAACTTCCAGTGTGACATTCATGCTCCAGGTTTGGAAGTTTTAAATCCACCATCGCTGCCCTCAGCACGCTGTATGTGGATATCCATCTCATAGAACATTCAGCTGGGTAACACGAGCTTGTTTCACACAGGAACCAAGTCCCTCTGTGAATTTGCAAGCGATATGCCATGGGGAGTAGATACTAAGAACTGTTTCCTCTCTGGGACCCCAACACAACACCCTGATGCACTGGCTGAATCCAACGTTGGCAGGAGGTTTTGCAAAGACGTATTTGCTTCAGACAGTCCTCTATAAACTCCTTCTACAGACTTTGTGGAAAAGGAAAAAAACCTCAGGCTGGACCAAGATAAGGAGGTGTGTGGAAGGCAGAGGAGGTGGCAGAGCAGGGCCCCCTCGGAGGGGCAGAACACACAGCTGGGACAGGCACAAACAGGCCCAGCCCAGCACATCAAGGTGCTCCAACACTGCCCTGTCAGGGTCACCTCCAGAGGAACTCCCCTTACGATGCCCCCTGGGGACCCAGGGCTCTGCAGAGAAAGGCCACACCAAGTACCAGAGATGCTTTCTGAAAGTCAACCATGTCTGCAATTGCAGACACATAACAGGCCCGGCCAGCCAAACCCAGAAAATTTTGCTGTTTAAATACATAACGAATTTTAGGACTCACAAGTATTCAAACTCATTTCCCTTTCACAAACTCAAAATGAAAAAAACCAACCCCCCAGCCAAAGCCCTAAACAGAAGCCAGCAGAAATTATCAATATTTAAGCTATGGATTTTTTCCATCTGTACAGAGGCTTATCACATAAATAAATACCCTCTATTATTCTTCTGCAACTGCTTGTGGGTGACTGTGACAGTCATTCAATAAATGGACAAAGGGAATAGTATAAATCCCCTGCATCTAGGGAATTCCTCTAATTAGAAGTGGCAATGAATTACAGAAGAAATTTGGGGTTAATATAACATCTGCAAATGACAGCTGTCTCTTCACACACTTATTCTGTCATTCCTTTACTTAAAATAATTACCCACCCCCAAAAATAGATTAGTGTAAAATGTTTCCATAGTGGTTTTGCCTTTGATTTTTATTTACTGCTGGCATTACTGTCCAGGCAGTTGAAAAGAAAGGAGACAGAGGAAAATCTATGCCACCAAAATGATAATGTTCCAGAGCATCAAGTTTCTAAGTGAAATTTTTACCCCCTGCTCTGTTTAGAAGTATTGACAACAGGAGAAAAGGATGTAAAACTATATTCTTAAGCACAAATAAGGAGGTTAAGTACATACTAGTATTAAAATTATACCGCCACCCAAACACCAGATATGTAAAGTCAGAGCAGCAGATGCTACCGGCGCAGGGGAATTCCCCGTCAGGCTTTTTGGACAGGCTGACAGGACTTGGTGCCTCTGTTTCAGACCCACCTGGAGCTGGGGAGCGGGGCAGAGTTTCTTACCACAGCACTACAGAATTTATAGACAGAAGCTATGGACGAGGTGTGTCTATGTTACACACACACACTCCCCTGCATATGCTCCCCACACGGAGAGAGGAGCCGAGGGTTCCGCAGACCCGCTGCGATCCGAGCGCGGCACAGCCGGACCACGCGGACACAAAGCTGGGAATTATTCATTCCCGAGCAGATCCAGCGGCCTCGCCGAGGGTCATTAAAGTCAATGGAGCTGCATCTCGTCAGCTTCCATCTGTACAGGGGCTCTGCCCCAGCGAGGGCTCTGGGGGGAGGCCAGCGGAACGCACGGGGCACGTTCCCCGCTGGGCACGGCTCCGTGCCCCGGCATTAAACACCATCCGAGGAGAGCGGGGCTGGGATGGTTATAACAAACAGGCTGCTTTGACAGGAATCAATTAAAAACAAGGGGAGAGGCAAAGATCCCCTCCTGCGAGTACTCCAAATGTCACCGCGAGTTACCCACGAAGCAAAAATTAATATTCAGCCCACTGCAAACACCTGCTTCGTTCCAATTTCCAACAGAAAAATCATTATTTCTGTTGCCCGCAGTAAAAGTAGGCAAGGTTAAATAAACCTTCCGAGCACAAAGCCTTCCCCTCTACGGCGAGCAGCACTAGTTAAAAGAGAGGGGAATGGGTAAATTATTGTACCAAATGGCTGAGAATTAATCTCTGATGACGAGCTGCAATCTAACGAGGCATCTGTGTCCCAGGGAACCCGCAGCATGTCCCTGGCGGTATGTGCAGTGCGGAGCCTGCCTGGCATGCTTTGTCCCCTCTCGCAGGCAGCTTTTCCTCTCATTGTTCCCAATATCCTCGTGCATCTGTGACGCGTGGAATGCATTCACACTAACAGACTTACTATTGTCTTCCCCCCGAAGCTTTGTCGGGCAAAGACTGCAGCACGGTTCCTGATAATTATATTGCTTAATTAATCAAGACAAAAAAAATTTGCAAATCATTGCCCGGTTGCCAAGCAGGGAGATCAAAAATGAAAACAATACAAGCTGAAGCAACATAACAAAAGTAACAGCTATCTGATCAGAAATTCTTCTATAATGAAGCTATTAATGCTAAAGCGGTTAATGTTAACATTGCTCCAGGTGTCTCTACTTGGCTGCAAACAAAAAGGCTAACATTATGGATATAAAAGGCCAAATGTTGCCATGGATTCTGTAACCTGATAGAGAGGACAGCCTTTTCATTCGATTAGGGAATGCAATTTAAATACCAGGGACTGAAGCCAAACAACAGACATTTCTCTCTGCAAGCCTCTTTCATTCACCCTGGGGTCAGTAGCTGGTGAACAAAAGGTCAGCCACACTTGCCCTGGAAATGTCTGGATTAATTTTATTACATTGTAATGGTTTGTACTTTAAATGTAGGGATAACACTAAATTTCCAGTTAGCTCTTATTCTGGCTGCCCGTCGGGTGCTTTTGACTAATATGTAAGATGACACAGCTTTTCTCCGTTGCTCCAGAGAAGTCTCAAGCGTGTTCCTCACGCTAAATTCTTAGCTCTTAATGTTCCGTTGGGAAAACAAAATGCCCAAAAAGTAAATTGCAGAGCTCAATGGCAAATGTAAGGAAAAATCCCCCACTGTCAGAAAATTTTCAAGTTTGAAACATCTACTGACAAACCACTGGTTGTCAATATCTAACAACTCCATCATTCATAACTCAAAAAATACTGTCTACAGCTGGTAAATACGTCACCTGATGAAGGCATTTGCCACAGCTGGTTACTCTCTTGGACAAATACTGTCCATCACACAAGGGAAACGGTATTTATCACACTGATTACTGTCACAAAGTGTATTTTATATACATTTTTGCGTCCATAATGTACCAGACAACCATTTACTGCAGTGGCTTTTTCATACCTGTGCACAGATGTACGTACACACACCCCTGCTATGTTGAAAACAAATGCCTTTTCCCCCCCCCCAAAATGTCTCAAATGTGGTTGCAAACGATGATTTAACCATGAAATAGTGAACCTTCAACATTTTGTTTGCTGTCAGGATACCCAGTGCCTGCATCACCCCACTGTGTGACAGTGACCCCACACACAGGGTGACCCCACAGCACACGAGTGTTTTGCTTTCACTGCCTCACGCTGCAAATGCACAGTGGTTTTAAATACTGCACTTTGCACAGTGATTTCTGTGGGTTGAGAATTCTGACACGTTTCTGTGAGCGCGAATTGTGACCATAAAATGAATGAGCAGGCACTTGGATCACCGTTAGTAATTCTAAAGTACGAGCTCACTGCTCAGCTTTTTGCCTGAGATGGACAGACTGTATTTTATACTTGTGGGGAAAAAATAACCCCCAACCTCGAAAGCACTGAGCTTTATCTAAGCAGCAGAACTGCTGCTCACTGCACACAACACATGACAAGCCCAGCAAAGCAGCCCAAACGTACCTCTGGTTTCTTCATGATCTCTATGAAAAACATGTGATTCTTCATGGGGTAGATGACAATGAGAACATCCCCGAAGTCCGTGGGTATGATGCCCCTGCGGTAGTTGCGGGTGTGCTCGGACCAGACGATGTGAACCTCATCATTTCCCAAGTGACGAAGCTGCAACGGCAAATTGGCTCTTTATTAATCCGAGTGATAACCACGGTTTAGGAGGGGTCATGGCTCACAAATTGAATTACAATGCTCAATAGTAGGAATATTTCATTACAGAAAAAGTTAAAATATTGTTTTTCTCCAGTTGCTCATGAAAGCATCAGCTCAATAATTTGCTTCATTCACTACACATTGTTGTCTGATGGCTTAATTAAGTCATTATCAAACTAGCCATTAGCATGATATGTAAATGTACATTACCTACAGTGATTTAAGATGGAAAACTGAATTACTAGAACAAAACATTACCCAACAGAACATCATATTCCAGCTAAAATGAGGCAGCTGTCACAGAAATATGAAATGCCTTGACTCAGGATGTCAAGAAACTGTCTGTCACGAACCACTATAACTGAATTTATTATCCACAAACATCTCCTCGCTGTGTCTGGAGGGGGCTTCTGCTTGAAACGTCAGCAAAATATCTGGGCAACGTGAGTGAGAGAAGAATGGGAAATACTATGGGAGCTACCTTTTTATGTGGAGCAGAGTTGCACAAAATATGGCTAAAATTTACACATGACACATACAAAATGCATCTGAGAGCCTGTGTGTATTTGCTCTGCTACTGGAGGAGCTGGAGGTGATCTAACAGATGGCAAAAACTATTTGGCAATCACGTACAAGCCTCACACAATGGTTTCAACTGTAAGCTTTAAAGTTAAAATGTAATCCACATGCAGAATGCCAGCCCAACGCATAAAAAGAATTTAAGTCCCACTTAAAGCTTAAAAGACACCCCCCACCCTCACAATTTGGTGCTACCCCTGGAACAATGTGCACAATAGACCGAACAAAGAAGCCAAAACGAAGCTCTGCTACTTCACTCTGTGTGGGGGGAAAGAAGAAAGGGAAAAGAAAGTGGTGATTTTCATTGGTAAATAACAACTGAGCTACCCCAACATGCCTTGCATCAGCCCATGCACCAATCAAACTTCCCTCTTCAGAATCAGGCAGTGCCTTTAGAAGGAAAAACTTTCACTCCTACATATTGGTGGCAAAATGGACCCCAGTCACGAGAGAGATGTGGTAAAACCAACACATTATGAGAATGAAAAAGTCACAACTGTGAACTTGGCTTACAGTTCATACTCCAGTAAAGTAAAGCTCAGTTCACAGAAGGACTGAGATTCTCAGAGTTTATTTTAAATTAAACTGAAGATAAAGTTGTGTTTTATTTACACCTATGAATAACAGGTAATTTTAGTTCTGTTTGAAGAAAACATGAACCCTTCGTGTCTTGTAAAAACCACCAATTAACAGAACTATTACTAGAGCTTCTTACATGTAAAAAATCAGTAGAAACTGCTGTTCTCATGGTCACCCTGATTTCTGTGCCACAGTGATTAGAAGCAAGATGTCAAATTTAGTGTTAAAAACCCCCAAAATCCTTCTAGTGACCAGACTTTGTGCACAGTGGGTTCCAGATGCTGGGGATGTGGGTGCCTGGCCAGGCTGTCCCACTCCACGCCTAGAGAAGAGGATTCAGTGAAGAGGGAGAAGTCAGTTGAACTGGCGCTCACTGTGCTTGTGTGGGACAGGGAGTGATGGCTGTGAGCTCAAACCCTTGCACATGTCCTGTGATCATGAATCCCACCTCTGCTAGGATCCCCACTGTGTGCCAGCAGCTCATTGTAGAGCTTGAGTTACTGCCCTTGAAGTCACACATCCTTAGGAGTCGCAGCAACAAGGTATAATGTTACAAAGGAAAAACTGGTACTAATCAAAAATGTTTGTTACTGAAAGATAATTTCGCTGATAAAAAGCCATTATAAATAATCTTATCAGTGACAATAAGCCAGCTGTTTTCCTGTGTTGTTTATTCAAAACAGCAGCTGTGGGGCAGTCAGTGCCATGAAGGACTTGTGCTGAAAGGTCTAAAGCCCCACAGCCAGCACACGTGGAGCCAGAGCTCCAGGCTGTGCTCTCCATGCGGTTTAGGACTGGGGGGGTAAAGGAAAAGAATACATTAAAAAAAAAAACAAATCAGCCAGGAAATCAGAGAGATATTAAAAAGCAGAGCCCAGGAATGGAGCAGCTCAGATCTGTTCAGTTCAGTGCTGAGTGGAGCGATCACAGCTCTGGAAATGGCAGCTGTGTCTCCTCTCGGGCGCACGGGCAGAGCGCGGATTTTCCGCCTGCCCAGGGAGGCGGTTTGGCTGCCACGAGTGTGATGGACACACTCTGGGCTGCAGGTGCTTGGACACGCCGTGGGATCAGTCCCCCACCGTGGGGTCAGTCCCCTACTGTGGGGTCAGTCCCCACTGTCCCTGGCTCTGGCCGTGCCGGGCACCGGCAGCGCTCCAGGCTCGGCACGCCCGGTGCCCAGGGCGCCGACGCTGGTCACGGTGCACACCTCGGCCTGACCTCCTTTCCCTGCTAATTGCATTACACAGCCAGCTGGCTCCAGAGAGGAGTCGTCTGTTTGACCCAAGAATTCCTGCTTTTGGGGAGGCATGGCTGCTACTTTTGCTAAGTAACAGTGGGGCCTGACATCCCCATTGTCTGCCTGACAGTGCGCCCATCCTAAAATCTAAGTTTTATTTGTAAATTAACCAAGAAACTTCCTGCCAGAGCAGGGCTGCCTGGAGACTGATAATGTGTGCCTTTCATTCCCTTTCACTCTCACTGTATCACTGCCAATTTGTTTTTCTGCTGCTCGCCAGCCCGAGGCCATAAAAGCCTTGTAAGACATAAGTGCAATTATAGTCCTGGAGTCAAATGAATTGGACAAATCCAATAGCACAGCTCTGTCCCCACTCTGCAAAGCCCTACAGCAGTCAGATTAGCTGCTAAAAATCTAATCTAGCCTCAGCTAACAAATTTCTGCAGCGAAGGAGCAAGAGTTCACTATGGGGTTGCAACCAGATTTCTGAATTGAAAAAGTTCTGCTCTGACAATGGAGAAGATGGAATAAATCACCGAGAAATTCTGCAGCACATCTTTAAACCGTTAAGCGCAATTTGGGCAGAACAAGACAGGGACAGTAGAATGCCATTCCTGGGATTGATTTTCACTCTTGCTGCACAACAGCCAGATAAAGTTTGGAACCAATGATGCTGAACCCTGCAGCAGCAAAAGTGATCAGCTGAATTTTGTTTACTGCACTAGAAAAGGTTTCTGTCAGGGCCAAGACTTATTTAGAGAGGGTTTCTTTCTTTCATTTTTTTTCCTTTCTCCCTGAATTAGCAATATAATATGTCAGCATATACCTCAAATAAAGAAATACAAACTGCAAATCAGAACTCTGCTGCACAAAAATAAGGGGCCAAGTTCATCCTCAGAGAACGTGGACTTATTCTTGGGAATTTATACCAGAAATTACTTTATCCCCGTGTTCAGTAAAAGTAAAGAACCACAATAACATATTTAAGTAAAATTACTGCATCTGCTTAATTCCCCAGCCCCCAGAATTTATGGGCTGCTGCAGGGCTCCCCAGGCCAGCAGGTGGTCAGTCCTTCTGTTCAGCCTGGAGTGTGTGAGCCAAGAGTGCTGATGGGACTGGAGCCTTTCGGTGGGTCTGAGGAAAAACAAGCAAAGAACCCCAGAAATCACACAGATTTCAGAGATAAGGGGCATCCGAGATCCCAGACAGCATCTGATGGAAGGAAGGGGAGGGCAAGAAAAAAGAAGTTGTGGCCTCCATTGCACCCTGACTGGCAATAGGATAAAACTTCCTCCTCCCAGTAACACTGTCCTGTATCCCCAAGAGCTGACAATGTCTTCATTCCAAGACATTAACACTTGCTTTCTGGGTGAAAAGAGCTCTTGCAGAATCACAGAATCATGGAGTGGTTTGGCTTCTGTTTGGAGAGTCAGTCACGCTCAAATGCAGGTTAGTTCATCCTTCAGCATTCCAAAGCATTAGAGAACTGTCCATCTCCCAGGAACTTTGCAGAGCTTCTGAAATGCACCTTCTGTCCACCTGGAGCTGCAGTTCTGTAAGATCTGCTAACAGCCCATGCTCATTTGCACAGAACCACGTTTGCTCACGACAGAGCTGTGACAAACTGAACGAAACCACTGTGTGCAGAAGCACAGATCCACATTAAAAAGCCCTCTGCAAGTCATCTGGTCCAAGCCCCTGCTTGCAGCTCCCGATATCCATGAGATTGTTCAGAGCTTTGTCCTGTACAGGAGTACACAGTTTGATCCCTGCAGGGTTCCATTCCTATAGCAGATTTCAGGTTTCTTTAAAAAAGTCATAGAGCAATTCCTTTGTGGTATTTTCTGTGGATAGTATGTGCTGGAGCTGGCCTGGTTTCCTGGCACTGCAAGACTTGGAGACTGGCAGCTACTAAATGCTTTTGCTTTTTGTTTCTCACAAAGAAGGAATTCTCTTAGAGCAAACATAGGCAAGACAATTAACTAGAATAACCGGACTCTCAGTGTCTGTGATAACCCCTAACACGGGTGGGGATCAGGAGAATAGTAAATAGACTGTTTGCAGTTAAACCCCATCTCTCCCCATGTGGTAGCTCCATCACTGTGCTCTCTGCTCTCCCAGATGATGTATTACTTGACAGCCAGATCATATCCCAGTGTCTTTGCTAGGCTTCCACAAAACCCAGGAGGCCAGGACTTACAAGGGAAGATTAGACTACACAGACACAATTTCTGTAGGACAGGTAAGTCTGGGGAAGACATGGCAGCAATTCTCAGACATGCATAAGTCTGCAGCAAAACAGTCTGCCCTCCATATCCATGTGGAATAGGGCACAATCAATGGGCTTAAACTGAAGCAAAGTAGATGGTGCAAGAGATTGTGTCATGGTACAAGAAGTGGAGCATAGGAATATGTTGCCTAGGGAAACTAAATCATTCATCACAGGAGTTTGGAGCGAGCAGCTGGACAAATACTGGTCAGCAACAATAAAAATACACATAGTCCTACACATAGTCCTACCCCGGTAAAGTCACAGACTCTACAGCCCCCCACTACATCCCACTGCCCTACCTCCATCCTCAATAACTCAGACTACATTTTTCCCACAGCCACGTAAATCCACTGATATGAAGATAATGAGTTGCATACAGAAAGAGAAACATGTAATTTTACTGACTTTTTGTTAAATGACAGATATCCCAGTAAAAAAAAAAGGATCTATGAAATGCTGGGCAATTTTTTCAGGACCAGTAAGCAGAAATTCCACCTTTATATTTAAAGGAAAAGCACATGTGATTCTGAAACCAAGTGGACACTAAATAGAGTCACCCAGTGACATTTGTAGACAATGTTCAGAGCACAGCAGCATCCCCTGGTGCGCTGGATAGCCTCGGCAGCATTGCTGATGCACATTAACAACCTCTGCAGAACAAGTTGCCAATCCTAATTAAAAAGGCAGAGATTTGGTATGCCCTAAAATCTTCTTTGACTCTAAGCAGCAGCTGGCAAGCACCATAATCTCAAATCACCCCTTGTTAGGAAAGACAAAGATTAAGTACCGACACCAACAAAGTTTTGGGCTGGGTTCTGGCTGCCTTTGAAGCAGAGGCTGCTTGTCAGAATTGTGCTTAAGTGGCTACTGGCTTTAGCTATCAGCTGTGGCTGCCTTGGGTCCAGAGCTTGTCACCTCCCTTTTGCTTTGCTGTTCCACACAGGATGATCGGTCTGGAAGGTTTTATTATGCTGCATTTGGTTGTTTTGTTCTACCAACCTGCAACAGCTTTGGCAGGCAGACAACATACAAATGAAATTATTGCTAATATTATTACTCATGGTGGTATTTGAGGCTACCATGGAAATGTTAATTGTGTTTCAGAACCCAGAATTTAGATGCCATTTAATTCAGATAATCCAGCTGCAGAGCACCATGTGGCACAGCAAAGATGGGATGCCAGGGCCAGTTAGCACAAGCTGCTCTCAGTTCAAACTTCCATTTAAGCACTTGCAGAGTGTGCAGTACACTGCAAATCCTTTACCTTTTTGGTCAGCAAATCGTCCGAGTCCGAGGGCATGCGTGTGGACACGTGGAAGATGATCTCCACGGTGGAGGTAGCGTAGTAGGGAGCGGTCTGGCCCGTGCTGCCGTTGCGCTGCAGGCCACCCATAAAACCCCCGTGCGTGGAAAGATCCACCTGAGGGATTGAAAGGCAGGATTAGAGGAAATTTGAAAAGACTGCTGAATTATCAGTATTTATTTCTATATCAAGACTTCATGAATTTACCATTCTAGGACTCTGCGGGCATCCTAGAGAAGTCTTCCCTTAAAGCTTTGTGATCCTTCTGTTAGATCTGTCTTTCCCCTTCCTGTACTGGACACTCACTAAAAGCAGATGTCTCTTAACCAGGTCCTGAGCCAGTATCTCTCTGGTGATTCTACCTTCCTACAGCAAACAGCAGCTAGGAAGCAACACATGCTGCTCCTCCAAGGGCTCAGACCTCCCAGTGCCTCCCAAAGGGCAGAGAAAGAACCAGAAAAACTGTAGAAGAAACTTAAGATTTGTACAGAAAGAAAAACTTTAGAAAGAAATTATTTCAGAAGCTCAATCAGAAGAAATGCCTCTCTGAAGTCCAGCTTGAGTCCAAAGGACTGTTTGTTTTCCTAGTGGCACCAGCCTCAGGATGGTGCCTCTCCCTGTGAGCCTTGTGAAACTTCCATCCTTAACATGCAGCTACTCTGTATTTCCCAAACCCATATATTTTCGTGGCACTAAGACTATGACACACCATTCTGACAAGGCAAATAATACCCAAAAACTTCATGAAGAAGCTCCTGTGGTGAGAATGTGAGAGCTAAAAGCAGCTAAATATCAGTGTGTAGTGAATTTATCTTTTTTTAATGAGAATTAAAAACTATGCAGTGACATTAGCAACGTGTTAGTTTGCCTACATTTATGGCTATTACCTCCCAGCCCAGTCCTGCTACAAAATCCTCATATGCCTGGCTTCCCCTGGCGTTGGCCAGGATGGAGCACTTGTCCTCCTGCCCCTCGGCGATGTAGAACACGGCGATCTTGTGAGTCTCACGGCTGCAACGGGACACAAAAACAAGTCAAAGTTAAACAAGTTTCAGCTCAAAATTATTTTTTTGATCCCTTGCACTCCAGAGCTATGAGCAGGTGCCCACATTTAACTCTGTGCATCCATTTCTTTTTTGCACACAAGTCCATTGCTCACTTTCAGCTGCAGAAATAGATTTCTGCCATTTTTCCTCCTCCTGCTGCAGAGACCCCCCAGTTCCGAGAGAGGAGCCAAGGCTGGTCCTTCTGTGCATCAGCCCCAGTCCTGGTGACCAAGTTCCAATTACAGGGTTAATGACTCAGAGCTGTGCAGCTTTGCCACAGACAGCGAGGTGGCACAGGTGTTAATGGGAGCATAATTTGACCTACAGAATTTTAATTACAGGGTGATGACACACAAGGAGGAAGAAACATTATTGACTCTCAGATCCTGGGCTGAGTTTTACAAGGCTGACAGAGACAGTTGTCTTCTTTGAAAAAAAGCAAAGCGGATTTGATATGGAAACTGTTGGGATGCAATGCTGCAGAGGCTTTTCAAATAGCTTCTACGTCCAGTAATGAAAAATAAAACATAACATTCAGAACTCCATTCTGCCACTTCCTGGCTGGGGAGCAGTTCTGGGGAGATCACCCCTTAAAGTACTGCTCCTGACATGGACCATCCTGTGAGAAATGGTCCTTTGTGTCAGCTGAACCAAGGCTGCAAACTGTTTGGGAGCTTCTTCCCTCCCTTCTCAGCTAAGCAAACTGGAAATAGGTTACTCTGTCTTATTATCTGCTCCTCATTTGGAATTGGCTGCACACAGTGCCAGTGCAGACAGCTTCTCCATTCGGGCTGCAGAACTCTGCAGAAACAAACAATCCATTTTACATACTAATATTTGTATTGCTGGCACAGGCAATGGCAGGAAAGCTTTCGCTTTGGTGACTCACCCATTCTGCCTTGGGAAACACAAACCTTATCAATGTTGTGTCCAGAACACATCACCTACCATTGGCGAGAATCCAGATTTTTCAGTTCTCGCAGCAATTTTGAATTTTTCTTAAGCAAGTGAAAGCTTTTCCTAAAAAAAAAAAAAAATTAAAAAAAAAAGGTTTGAAGGCAAATGCAACACCATACAGACACAGTATTTTGTCATCCAAATACCTAAGTGAAGTGAATCAAATTAACATGACGTGATTTTTAAAAATCTTGTTTTCTTAAGTGCGTACACATTTGGGGGTAAGAAGTGAGAAGAGTAAGAGTACTGTAAACATGTTCTGAATCCCCTCTCCCTACCTTCTGTCCCAGGAGTTCATTCCCAAGTCGTTCAGCAACAGCCGACAGAAATAAAAGGAGGCCTGAGGCTCAGCAGGGCGTGGTGGTTCCTGGCGGGCCACCTTCATGCTGCAGTCCGAGCTGCATTTCAGGATGAACTCCCTTTCCTGGGCGCTCTGCCTCATCAGGGCCTCCATGATGGCCCGCTCCTGCTCGCAGCTCATCCCGCAGGGCGGCGGCGCCGGCTCGTTCAGCTTGCGCTGGGGATGCAGAAGGCACTCGGGGCTGGTGGCACCGATCTTCTCCAGCAACTGGTCGAGAGCATCTTCTCCTTCCTCTGCCTGGGAAGCGTCGTTCTGGGAAGTGAAGTGGTGCTCGGGGTTGCTGGAGATCACAAAGGTGTTGGTGGGGCTCCGCTGTGGCAGGCAGCCCTCCAAAGGGCCGTACAGTATCCGGCCGTCCCAAGAGTACTTCCCTGAGATATCCCTGACGATCACCCTGACGTCCGAGGGGGCTGCTGCCGGCTCAGCACCCGCCCTCTTCTCTGCAGGGATTTGGAGGTAAGATATGAGAGTGCTGTCATTGAACACAAAGAGCTGCAGGTTGGGACTCCGGAAGACTTCCGAGGACAGCTCAGAGGACTCCACGAAGGAGTTGTCGTGGTTCTCACTGAGGAGGCTGTGGAGAATGGCAGGGCCTCCGCTGAGCGGGTAGTGGCTCAGGTGATTCACCAGGTGAGTCATCACCATCCGCGCCGTCAGAGGTATCAATTCCAAATTCCTCCTCCTTTTCTCTAAAACCATCAATGAAAAGATAATGGATCAGTAAGAGCAGCAAGAGACAATTCAAAAAGAGCAACTGTGGATTTCTGTCACATTGCAGCTGCCTGCTTTAGTTGTCTTCCCGAGCCTTCCTGTTCAAGGAACTATTTACAACAGCTTTCCAAGGAATTCTACCTGTCCCGCAGTTTTATTTTATTTTACCACACCCCCACAGCCGGCCCATGCTCTGTGAGCTCTCTTACCCTCAGCAACAGTGAGCAGGTTGCCCAAATCCGTGGAGGAGTGGCACTGGGCTGGCTCCGAGCTCCTGACGTTCCCCAGTGGCAAAAAGGGGTCGTAATCATAGGAGGAGAGGTCGGCCAGGCTCAGCACGTAGTGGCTTTGCTGCGTGTACGTGCTGGAGCCGTTCACACAGCAGTGCAGGACCTGCCAGGGGACAGCGGGACACTGCAGCAGAAATAAACCCCACAGGACAGGCCCCAACACACCCTGGGAGCAGTGCCCCTTCCTAATTCTGACTTTGAAAATCAGGACATGCTACAAAAACCATCTGTGGCCAAGTACAGCATTTTTAAATTAGCACTCACCATCTGCACTGATTCTATACTTTAACAGCTCACTTCAGGACTTGTTTTGTATTTCAACAACCCACTTCAAATATTTCTGCAAAGATTATCTTCCTAGCTTGTTGTTTTAAGCGTTTTATCTGTCTCTTCACCACCCCCTGTCTGTTCTACATCTCTAATCTTATCTTAACATTTTGCATCCGTACTTCTCACCTGTACAACTTCTGCCCACATTGTGAGAACTCATGATTTTCTAGAGCTTGCCAAAACTGCTTCTGTGCCTACCAGGGTGTGTGAAAGGCACCTCTAAACATCCAGACACAGTAAATCACTGCCCTTTCCACACTCACTCTGTAAATGTAGTCCAGTAAAGGAGCTCTGGATGTGTGTTGATCTTCCACGGCACCAGCAGACGCGGGCTCCAGCAGCATTTTCATGGGCAGTGCCATGCACCAATCCAGCAGGCAGAGCAGCAGGGAAACTATGAACTGAACAAGAACGTGGAACACGGTATTTAGGTACATTCCACTGAATTCACCCAAACTTCAAGGGAGGGGTTGGAAGGTTTACAGCTCTGGTTCAAAGTGACTTCATTTAAAAAGCACCTCTAACAGCACAAAGGAGGAATGGAGGCAGCTCTTGTCAGGGACGCACCTTCTTATCCGCCTCCACGGAGGAGTACTCGGCACTCGGCAAAAGGAATGCAATGGTGGCCACGAGGATCTACAGCCAAACAAACACATGTCAGAAAGGTACTTCACTTCTTTCACTATAAAGACAGAGTTGGACTTCATGCACACAGGGTATGGAAAAGGTTCAGTTCCCTTAGGAGCATCCAAGTGCCTGTGTCAATCAATGTCCAAGGGAAACACAACAGTTTACTGAGCGTTTTGAAAACAAGTCCCTGCAAACATGGGACATACACTGGTCCTGGCACTGCAGCAGTTACATCCCTAACAATATCTGCAGAAGAAGGGAGTTAACAAATCATAGCAGCTCAAGGAAGGAATTAAAACAACTTTGCACATGATTTCCCTACAAACATTTGAAAGAGTCTGACGTACTTCAGTGATTTTCCGGCACAGGAAGGATTCATACTCCTGAAGCTTTTGCCAGTAAGACACGAGCAGCTGAAGAACATCACAGGCTACCTGAGCTACCAGCTTATTGGAAAACTGGAAAAAAAAAAGGTGATTAAAAGCCAAATAAAATATCCACATATAATACAACGCATTCAGTTTTTCTACATTTTAAATTATTTAGCATCTACACAAACAATAAAGAACATTAATGCTGCGAAATCATCTCGTCAGCATTAGGAACCAGCATGTTTGATATTGTCTGTGTGATTTTAACTCAGTTTGCTGGGGAGAGGGTCTTTAGGTACACAAGCACATGCTATTTTTGCAAATATTCTGCACGTTTGTATAGGACAAACACCTGCAGACTGTGCTCCAGACCATCATCAGCTCTTTAAAAAGTGAAAATGCCTGTTTTTACACAATGCTGATTGATTGGGGCCCGCCAGAGCAATACCTTCAGTGTCACACCTATGACATTGATGGCCTTCTTCACGTGGGGATGGTTTGTGCACTGTGTGAGCTCCTCACAGATCCACACTCCCAGGCCACAGATGGCTATGCACCTTTGGTAAAAGGAAGAGTGCTTTTGTCACAAGTTTTAGAAGAACGTTTAGGGGGAAAAAAAAAAAAGAATAAAAAGAAAAAAAACGCACAAAGATCTTTCTTTTCCCTCTCACACAACAGGCCTGCACCTTTATGGTGCAGAGTGGAGCTCAGCTTCATAGGACCAAACCGCAAGGCAGTAGCAACACCTCAGCTGGACAAGCACCAAAAACAAGTAGCAAGAAAGACTTTCCAACTCAAGGACTTGATAATCTTAAAGATCTTTTCCAACCCAAACAATTCCATGATTTTCCCAATTTACCTTGCAGCTTCACTTGGCTCCTCTGTAGCATTCTTCAATAAAATATTTATGAGGCAATACTAAAACAACAAAATAAATTAGAATAAGTGTCTTTTCCATACCTCTACTTTAAAGTTAATTTTTACATAGTTACAAGTGAAGTCACTTTAATCCTCAGTCTGTTCTTAAAGCATCTTTACCTCATGCCAATTGTATTTTGTCAAGGCAGAAATACCGATTACAACTCAAATACACAGGCCCTTGTGGACAAATTGTATCAACCTCAACTCATGAACTCCCGTACGGGCAGCAAGACAGAAATCGATTCATTTTCAGAGTGGAAGGGTGTTTACAAACAGTGAGTGGAGGTCACTTCATACAAACTGTAATGTTTAGGTTTTAGTACAGAAAAGACACTTCTAAAATTGAGACAGCTTTAACACGCCTCCAGTGACTCTCCAAGGCCTGATGAAGAAAACAAGAATGGGTGGCCAGCGTGCAAAGAGGTTCCTGCACCCCTCTGGTTACTGAAATAGCAATAAGGCAAAAAATCTCTACCCTTACACACCCCACACACCTCTTACAGGATGAGCTAATGGACACAGGTACAATGAATGGACACTTTAAATACCACCTACACTATTTAATGAATTGGCCTGGATGGCATCTGGCTGGAAAAATGTGGTATCTGATCACAGCCAGCTCGCTCTCCTTGAAAATCCAATTGGACTTTGCAGTATCTAAGGTTTGTTAACGGTATGGCACATGTCAAGCAAAGCACATGTAACATGTGCAGCTGTGGGGTTCGAGGAGAAGGAGGGGTTCCTTTTTTAACCAAAAACTCACAGTAAGAATTAAGTAACTGAATAATAAAAATAGGATAGGTTACCTAAGGATTTACAGTGAAATGGAGCTTTACCTTCACATCTGCAGTTCCTGTGCTGATCTCACTGGCTTCTGAAATGGGCCCCAAGCATGGGATTTCTTGGTAGGTATTTGGAAAGCACACGAGAGCACCAAGGATGGTGTGAGCTTCAGAACGGGGAGCCTAATGAGGGGCAAGTAAAGAGAAATATTAATTAGAAAAACCTTCACACGTGTAGATGCCATCAGCTCTGAGGCCAGGATGCACTGCCATACTCAGAGTGCTGGATGCAGCACTGTAGTGTCCCAGGACCTTTTCTTTTACAGCTCCAGCAACAACTGTATGACAGCAGTGACCAACACACACCTTCCTGCCCGTGCTTTTTGCTGCTGTGCTGCCCTGCTCTCTTTGTGAGGCTGAGCTGCTCCTCCAGCAGGCATCTGGCCCAACTCCTGAGCACATTCTACATTTTTAATACCTCCTCTGTCATTACCCAATACAACAATCAGCCATTTGGTATCAACTGGAAGTACAGAACCACCTAAGAAAAGCTGAGTGAGAGGCTGAAGCACTAATCCAGCACTGCTATTACGTGATCCTGTGACACAGAAAGTGCCCAGTGCACTCATACTGACTGCACAGATGATACCAATGTGCAGGGAGATCACTACTTCGGTAAAACCATCGAAAGCACCATGGCATGAGCTAGAAACACATTAACTACTATGCAATATTGAAAATACAAGGAACACCCAGTTTTATGCTTGTAGGAGAAATGGAAGGTGGCGTTTTGGTTTGTTTTTTTTCCATGGAAAGTTGAGCATTCATTTCTTATTAGCACTTCAAGCTTTGGATCAACGATCAGGTTGATCAGACTCTGGGGGCCGAGGGAAAAAGCACTGCTGCAACAGCAGCCAGGAGAGGGTTCCTCCCGCCTTGGCCTTTGGATGAAACACCTTTGCAGTAGCAGGGTGGCAGCCTGTCCCACCATCTCCCCCCTCAGCTGCCCCAGGAGCCCCTGTGGCAGCAGGGAGCTCGTCACCTCCAGTGTGTCCGCGCGCAGCACCCGCGCCGCCGCCGCCACAAAGTCCCCGATCAGCATCGTGAACCCAGGCAGGCCCAGGAAGAAAAACCAGGGTGGGCAGTGCTTTATGACGGTGTTCAGGATATCCTGCAAGAGAAGTTACCCGTGTGAGAAGAAATAAGCAAAACCAAAAATAACCCACAGAAGGAGCCCAAAAGCAAAAGGGAGAGTTTGAGAAGATTTAACTTTGAGGTTCACCAGTCCCTCACTAGTAAAGGTGCAAATTCACAGAGCCCCATAGCTGTGTGCAAACTGACTGCCATGTAACCATCACCAGATGCAGGGAGTAGCAAAAGTGCACCAGGTGTTTTGGTTAAGGTTTCTACTCTTAAATTCCTGTTAAAAACCCAAACCACACACCCACGTCTCTCTCTGTGCCTAAGCACAACCATTCTGCTAAGTAAGTCTTTGGATTCAAAACATCCAAACCTTTAATGGATTTAAGATGAGGCACTGCAGCACTCCAAAGGAGTGAGTTCCTAAATTGCTTTACTCAAAATTCTGTGCCACAAGAACACAAGCTGACCCCAACACCTGCTGCCTGTGCCCTGAAGGAACAGACCAGCACCCCCAGCTCTGCTCATCATCACCCTGTGACACAGAGGATGGTCGAGATAAGCATTTCAACCTCAATCCTTCCACGTTTCAAGACTTCGTAGTCTCTCCAAATCAGGGCAAAGTTCCTGCATTTGAGTTAAGATTTTCTTGCCACAAGCTTTCAGCAGGTTTAAAATTAGGCATAAAATCTATATAATCCTTACCTGCAACACTGTATTTGCTGAAGAGTTAGATCAAGCTATTTCTATACTGAGTAGAAAATTATTTTTCACTCACTAAAATTTTGAAGGAAGATTACAAAGGAACTTTTCCACCTTCACCCTTATGGTTTTATGATGTGCTAAAGAAGGCCTGAACTTGGAGTCCCAGAACGTGTCCATGTGCTCAATTTCTACAGCAGAAGCTAAAGTTGATAAACCTTATTTTCTCTACATGAAGAGATGTTTTAAGATCACCACTATTTTATCAAAGCCCTGCTAAACATCTGCACATCCCCTATTTAGTGTTCCACTAAGTGTTTTTAACACCAACATCTGACGAAATAACTGCTATATATTTTAAATAAATAGTATTAGTTTTAGACATAGTAGCAGATAATGCTTTCACTTTCCTGAATAAGCTAAAATGCTACCCGAGTTAATGTTTAAACTAGTTTTAATCACTTCCTTTGATACCTTTTAAGTCAATATGGGTCAATGCAAACACAGAGAATGCAGAGCAGATGGATGCAGCAGCTCATAAAGCGGGAGGTAAACTCCCAGTCGGAGCAGAACAAAGGACCCACCTTTTTCTAATTAAGGGCCTGATTAGCACACGGGGCTGGTCGGCACAGCCACACCTGCCCAGCAGGGCCAGGTACGGCTCAGGCTGCTCCTAATCTCGGGCAGCAGATGGGAGCACACATCTGTTGACATGTGCCACGATAAAGCAGCCCGGGATAACCTGGCCAGGAAGCACCAGGACCTGCTCCCAACAACTGCATTAACTCCTGTCCTCAGCCCATCGCTCCCATCTGTCACACACAGCAACGGGCAGAGCCCCTGCACCCCGGGCCCTGCACAGAACACTTCCAAAATGAGGACAAAGATGGAATCACACAACTGTTACCTTAATACATGAATGCTGAGACTACACACACATTCCTAAATGCTGGAGGAATGGGGCTGCAGGGACCTACTCACTGGTTTGAGATATACTACTACTAGTGGGGGGAAAAAAAAAAAATCATTTTCCATAGTAAGAAACCTTTGAAAATTTTACTTTGAAAAGCTACTGAACCAATCCTTAGTTTCCCTTTGAATTCCCAGCATGGGCCGCATGCTGTGATATGCACACAGGGCCTGGACCGACCCACTCTGCCAGGCTGTTCCCACTGCTATGGTTCATCTCAGGCATTCCAGTGTGCACTTGGATGGTCTGAGTCACTTCACTTAAACTAAGACAAGGCAGAATATATCCTGGCTATGGAATTGGCTTTCTACTGGATGCGACTGCACAGCAAACGGACAGAACCCCACCAGGACAGACCTCCCAGGTAATCCCGCCAGGTTTTCCCCCCTTTCCCAATCTGCACACTGCCCTGCCCAACCCAGCTCGCAATAAAACAGGATTTCAGGCAGTAATTCAGTAGCTTTGGGAGCTTATCAGCAGAGTGAGGCTTGTGAGAAGGCGAGGGAGCGAGAACATCTGTGCTATCAGTGATACTGCAAAATCAGGTAATCCAAACAGAGCCCAGGCGCTTCCTTCCCTCCCGAGCGCGGGGCTGGAAATGTAAACTCTGGGCAGCAGCTCCAGCCTAGTCAATGAATCACTTTAATTGAATGCTATGTACACAGCAACTGGAAAACACAAGCCATAAGAAAAACATATGGTGATGGCCATGGAAATTGGTTTACTCATTCTGCACAGTGTTGTTTCTTTACTTCTTTCATAATTGACCTTTAGAACGATAAATGTGTAAAATCATTTTGGTTTATTATGGCTCCGAACCTTTCAGCAATTACACAAAATGAAAATTTAAAAGGAAGTATTCATTCTGGAAGCATTTCCATTGTTTACATAATTGCACAGCTATAATTTAGTGTTCATGTTGTTAAAGAAAAGTGAAAAAAAGGACCATTATGGACTATTTCAATTCAAAATGATGCTCTGTAGTGTTAAAGCTGGGGAGAGGGGGAGAGGAAGGGGCAATCACATGCATGTCCTTCTCAAATGCATTAACCCTATAAATGGCATCATATTTCAGTATAGGTTAATCTAGTAATCCAAATTATAAGGTCATAAACATCCACTGAGTAAGCGAAATAAATTTATGCAAGTTCACTGAAAGGTCAATTGCAGAAATATTCTTCACCTAATTTTTGCTCAAGCTTTTGCAGATTACAGGTGTAACCAAATAGCCTGCCAGCTGCCTTCCTCACGTTTCCAATTGTCTCTCAACAGGAACAACATGGATTTTTCACTGAAAGTTCACTCTGTTCCTCACTGAGAGACACCTCATTAGCGGCTGAGATTTACAGCACGGGAAAGATTATTAATTTACAAAAGACTTAAGTGGTAAATCCTCCCTTTTCCTTTCTTACTTTAAAGCAACAAATGCTTCCATTTACTTACTCCAAGTTTTCCTACCTACCGTTACATTTTAGGTAAGAGTTAACCTGTCAAAAATTAAGTTCCAATAAAAATTTACAAAATAAATTTGACAACCTCAGGAAATCCAGGATGAGCTCTTCTATCAGAAAACTCCATTCCAAGGTGCCAGTTAACACCTGACCTCCAGACAAGCTGCACTTGCTACAACTGAGGCAACCATTGGAATTAAGGACTGAAAGCAATATTTTGGTTCACGCACACTAAGAGAGCAAGTCCTGAGCACTCTCTGGAGACAGGGACAGAGGTGTGGGTGCCAAGGCCATGGCACTGCCCGCAACGTGGAGATGGCTTTGTGTCCCCACACGGATCTCTCCCAAATGCCTCCAAACTGTCCCACAGACAGAACACTGACTACAAAACAGGAATTTGAGTGGGATGGAAGCAATTTAGAAAGGGCAAATGTATTAAAGCAAAATAAACAGAAACTACCAAAATCATTCTGGAACACACAGCTCCTGCAATTGGCATGACCTGGCTCCTCCCTGCCTTCAGTCAATCTTCCAGCTCTTTTCTCCAGCACGTCCCACTTCCCCTGCTCTGGGTGAGCAGAGGGGGATGTGAGAGTTCCTGTGAGACCCTGGCATTTGGACTTTTGTTTGTCCCTACTGGAAACATGCTGTCTGTTAACACTTTTTCAAAGCACTCAAAGCACATAATGGGGGCACACTGGCAAATTTTCTACAGAAAATGAGGTAAGGGGGGATTAAAAGAGGGAGAAAATCATGGTAGCCATTGGAAAGAAGTCTCAAGAAGCTAAAACAGGGGAATCTAAGCCTTAATAGACTATATTAAGATTATTTCCTTTTAAATGGCAGCCTGGGAAAGAACCTAAACAGCTTTATGGTTTCTGTACAACTAAGGGTCCTTGTGTGCAACGCCATAAGGCAGAAATCCAGGCAAGAACTACCCATTCCGTGGGGGACAAAAGCAAAGGTACTTATTTATTGTACCTTTAGAAGGCTATTACAGGTCCCAGTGACAGCCCACAGGCTGTACACTGCTCCTTACTGCTGAGTAACAACTGTACAGAAAGATATAAAAGCCCACAAATACTTCTTTATTAAAAGTCAGACCAATGTTAATACAAACAATAATTAATATAGCTTCTCCACTAGCAGCTCTACTGAAAAATCCTTCATATTATAAATTAGCCATTTCCCACACCAAGAGCTCCAGTCAGTGTTTCTACATGAGCTTATACAGAGCTGCTGCAGCTTCCTCTCCATAATTACCAACAGGGCATTTTAAACAAATAAAGAGGCTTATAGACACATAACGTCCACTAGCACATCACCATCTCTATTGACAGAGTATTTCACCCACGTCATCCTTTCACTGCTAAAGGGAATGGAGCTACAAACAAAGCTGTTAAGTGCCCTGGCTGCAGCCAGGCTGGGCTCTGAGCAGGCCTGCTGCATGTGCTGACATTTAATCACCCAGGACATCTGCCAGCTCCGTTGGACTTGGGCTGGGTTTCTCTGCTTCCATATTTAAAGTTTGTTCTGCCCTTCACATCACTGAACGGAAAAAGCCACTGCAGTGTCTCCTTCCCCGGCTGTTTGTTGTCCTCGCCACAGAGAATCTCTGAAGTCTCCACATTTTATGATGTTCCTTAAACACGTAAGCATCCTATTCCAAAGATACTCTGGCAAGTAAGTGTGATTGTACATTTATTAAAGCTACTTGTTAAAACTCACTTCCGAAGTCAGGGTGACAACTGACCCATTATCTCACCTTGCAGGTCACCTCTGAGCACTGGGTGACCCCTCAGTGCTGGTGACAGGGGACACCAGGCACAGTAAGTGATGCTCACCCTCACAGTAGGGTGGCACTAAAGAAATGCCACTGAACAGCTGAGGGGCTGAAAGCTGAAAAGGCATTGCAAACCTGCCACCTCTTCTGCAGGGGTAGCACCTCCCCTGCACTGTGCTCTCCTCTCAGACTGAGAGTGGAAACTTGGGCAGAAACAAGGTGGCATCACGAAAACCCACAGGATTCCCAGGAGAAAATCCCCAGCAACCTCAGAGGATGATTTAAGTGCCAGAAAGACCAGACCTGAGGAATCACAATTATCTCAACAGCCGCTTTTCTGAGAAGGGGGCTCAGTAGTGCTTGTAGCTTTCTGGGATTGTGTTTTGGTCCTTTGGTTCTTCAGCAAAAAGGAGGAAGCTATGGAGCAAGGAGATGCTCAGGGACTTTTTCAGGTAAATGAAGCAAAAACTACTGCTACAGTAAGCAGCCAGTAGCAATAATAAAATAGCAATAATAAAATACATTTCCTTTTCCAGTTCAGGTATTTGTGAAATTTGTACATTGCAATGTTAGATTTTGGGTTAATTTAAAAAGCCGAATCATAAGACACGGATAGCAGTCCCTGAAATGGGAATTTTCCAGCCATCACCTGGCAGCAGAAGGCAGCTATGCCTACCCAAAATGCAACAGGCTACCCCTTGGTATCCCTAAAAACCACATCCCAGGAATATTTCCTGATTTTCAATAATCCTGAGGAATTGAAACAGCTGTAGGTAAACAACTGCCACTAACCCCAAACGTGGCAGTGAACCTCCAAACTGTTTCCTTCATGCTGGAGGTCAGGGAGAGGAGGTTGTGAACCTCAGTGAGCTTCATTCATCAAAAAGCAGGAAAAGCCCCTGGCTCCCTCCAGCAGCAGAGCAATGCTGCCGTGTGGAGCAGGGCAGGAGGGAAGCACCACCCGCAGATGGTCCCTTGCCCCCTGACCTCGGGCCCCTCCCTGGCTGGAGGCAATCCCAGCTCCAGACTGGGGCTCAAAATGATGCAATGGCTTCTCCCACCTGGAAAGGTGATGCAATTCTTGCAGAGAATTGTTCACTTCTCCAGAGGTGTTTGTTGTTAGACGCTTCTACATGGACAAATTAGCCACAGCTCATTACCCCCGCTGTCTCCTCTGCTGAGCTAATTGCTACGGCCTGAACTCGGAGTGCCACGGGAGCCTCCTCTGAAATACACCCTCACACTGCTCTTTTCTGCACCCCATGAGACCAGGCTGCACTTGCTGGGAATAACATTGCATTCATTTATAACATACTCAAAACCACATTATTTTGTTTTTCTATAAACACCAAAAGCTACAAAATACAGCAGAAATCTCCTACACTTATGTCTTTAAGCGAGGAGTGAAAAGAGAAATATATTTAAAAAGCCACTTCTGACGCAAACCAAAATACTGAAAATCATATTCAGGTCAAAGAGGTTTCTGACTGTAATATTTTTAATTATGTAGCCACCTAAGAAGCTGTTCTGAAGTAGTCAAGGTAACTTCCTGGAGCTGGGCTATCTGTTGGTGGTTTCCCCCATAAATGCTAAAAGTGGCACCAGTGATCCACACAGAAGGGAAATTCCTCCATGAGATGCCTCCTCCCCCTCCTTCTGTGCATATTGCTTGAAAGTGAGAAATTCACGTCTGTGCTTAGCAAACAAAACCAGTCTGTGCTAAAAAAATCTGCACCCGAGTTTATTTTGGTTTGCACTAACTGGAATCCTGGAAGCCATCCTGGGATCCATATTCCAGCAATCCTGTGCCCTCTGTTAAATCAGGGTCCCACTAGTCTCAGCACCCAGCAAGCACCTTGGTGCCAATCATCCTGGAAATACAGGAGCAGGTGTGAGGGTCCTGCTTCCTACTAACAGGTTGCTCCAAGGTTCTGCGAGTTAACTCCTGGCCCAGCTCCATAGCTCAGGAAAATAAAACGGGAAGGACAGTCACACACGAGCAAACCTGTGGTCAAGTGTGCCACCAAGAGGCGACACAGCAAACCCCAGCGAGGAGGGAGAACAAAGAGCAGCAGCAAAATCCCCAGGACAGCCTGGAGCGCTGTGCGGTGTGGGAGCTGCCCAGTGCCTGGGACACCCTGCAGTGATGGAGTCGGGGCTGCCTCTGCTGCTGCCCCTTCTCTGGCTTGGGCTGTGCCTCTCTACAGTGTGCTGGGGCTTGTGGGACAGCATTTATTGCTGGGGGGGTTCAGGTCAGGGGTCAGACCCCAGTGGGTGTTACCAGTCTCTTGTAGGGATTGAGGGGACTCTGCTGGATCTGACTGGAGTGAGACGGAAGTGTAATAAGCTCTTGGTTCCTCTCAGGGGACACACAGAGTGCCAAAAAGGGGAGTTCCCACTACACTTCCATTTTTCCCTGTTTGTGCTTTAGAAATGGCAGATACTAGTGGTTTTTTCCTAAATTGCAGCAGCAGCTGGGACTCCTGGGATTTTCCAGAAAAAAAACCTTTCCTTTCAATTCTTATCTATTTAAAAGGAAGATTTTCCAAACACTCTAACACTTTAGGAGGGCAACTGAGGGGCAAGAGTCTGGTAACAATTCATTCTTTCTCTCTTCCATCTCAGAAATAACCAAACCTGTCTGGTTTCCTAAAGGCACCAGCAATAATTCCCAGGGTTTCCCAAGGGGTCCCTGTGCCCTCTGCTGCCACTTCCAGCACAGCTTCAGCCTCTCACTCCTACAGCAATAAAAACATGGAAATGTTTGTAGATACTTTCTATTTTATCTAAGGAGTATTTCTTGCAGTTTTTATGAGCACTGAGCTGTTTCTGTGGCCCAATAGTCATCTGACAGCTCAACGGATTAAAGTATTTTCCTCACCTCATACTGAATACTTTATTCTAACTAGTTTAGGCTAACCCAGGACACGGGGACCTGAAACAACATTTTTCCACAGAAGCAGAATGTTTTGGGAGCACCTTTTGGTTACAGTGGTAGGATAACCTTCTGTCTCACTTCTCCCTTCAGCCCCCCTGGCACCAGCTCGGGAGAGCTGGGATGACCCTTCTAAATACTCCCCGAAGGATTCATGTTGAAGAGGGAAAGTCTGGAGGGGACAGCATTAACTCTGGCTCTGTTTTTGTCCTGAGGATGTCCTTGCAGGCAGTGGCACAGGGCACTCCGAAGGGCATGCTGAGAGCGAGAATACTGTCAGTTTTTTACCTGGTCCTCACTGGTCAAGCCGAGGCGCATCACGAAGTAGAAGTGGACGAGGAAGTCGGAGTTGGGCAGCACGTCCTGGCGCCGGGTCATCATGGCACAGAGCAGCCGGAACGCCTGCAGCTTGCCCTCCTTGTACTCGCTGGGCAGCGTGGCTGCCTGCAGACACACACACCTGGGGTTAGCCCTGTCCCCTGGGGAGCCAGCTAAAACAGAGCTGCCCCTCCAGCAGCTCTGCCAGAAAGCAAATCTGCTCCGTGTGTTTATTAACAGATATTCAGGGCCAAAGAGCCTCTGGAGGATGTTTGTTGTCTTAACCGGCAGTGATTGTAAACATCAAAAATAATGCAACTGAACAGACACCAGAAAACGTGTGAGAATTTTAGAACTAACTTACCTTGAACAGCCACGATGCAAATATCCTGAGAGGAGGGATTAGGATGGGAGGAGAGGGAGTTGACTGATTGTCCACACTGATAGCGAGGTTGTCCCTTATCTGAGGGTTTTAAAGGAAGAGTGTTAACAAAACTGACAGCTTACTTTTTAATGTTCTCTATATCATACTATTACATTTAAATCTTATTATATTTATGTTCAGGCGCTATGCCCTGCACTTTACAGAGTTCCTACTTCAACCAAAGTTGGAAACCTTTTTTATGGTGCTGCTCCCCAGCCAAAGGAAATGTTACCAGTTTGGGTCACACTGTGGGCCTTTACACAAATACCAACACCTGTGGTATTCTGTTCTATACTTCTCTTTTCTTTGCTACTCTTTCCTCACCCCATTTAAGTGAACCATTTCAATTCTCTTGTCACTGGACAGGATCATGCTCTATTAGGTACAGGGACTAGAAACCAAACAAGAGCAGTTTCCTTTATGACAGAACCCTCTCAAGCCACGCTTATGCTCCAAATGCTAACACTGAATCATATTTAATAATATTTATCAATAATTTTTACAATATAAGAGAAGTCACTAGCACTACTTGGAAGCATCACATACCTTTGCAAGTTTATACCACAGCTCGTAAAGGTATCCAAAAACTTTTGCATGGATTTTAGGTGACTGTATCTTGTTCACATCTCCAAGAATTCCCAAGATCCTCCTCCATAACACAGCGGCAGAATCAGGATGCCAACCAATAAGGCTTCCACCAGCAATTATACTGCAGTCATCAGCAAGGAATTCACTACTGTCTGTAAATGTAAAATGTTCCATTTCCACAAATTAGAAATGCAGTGTAAGCATAAATCGGTCAATAAAACAGGAACTTCAGTCCTTCTAACCATCTTCCATCTCAAAACAATTCTCTCCCTCAAATCTCTTTTTCATTGCTCGAGCTGCACCTGATTCAAAGAAAAACATGGCAGAAAATGGAGGCAGAGGGGCTTCATATCCCAGTGCCACAGAGCAGGGCAGTTCCAGATCAGACTGTCCACATTCCAGGGGATTTCCAAGCAGGGAGGCAAAATGCAGTTCCATGGAACATTCATGTGCCCTGAGAGATGTATTCAATCAAAAACTGGCTTTTATTTCTATTTCTAAATACGTATAACTCAATAATTATAACCCAGCCGGGCTGTACAAAGCCCTCCCGACGCAGAGCTCTGTGGGTGCAGTACCTGTGAGGTTGGCAGGCTCCGAGGGGCTGAGCTGCAGCCAGCGCGGGGCAGTGGGATCCACACACACGGCTCCGGGGTCGGGATCGTCCTCGGCCGCCTGCCAGGGCAGCAGCGCGATGTCCACGTCGGCCCCGCAGCCCAGGGACGCGTCGCTGCTCACGCTCTCACCTGCACAGCACAGGGCACACAGCACAGGGCACAGCGTGGGCAGGGGCACAGCAGCACCACGACAACAGTGGCTGCTGCCTCGGCCACAACCGCAGTTGGCATGTCGAGTTCAACTGCTACACTTTACAAAAATACCGTGTTTCTTGGAACTCACTTTTTTCTCTCTCTCTGTAACTCCCCTGGGGTGGCTGAAAGTCTGCTTTCAGATCTAATTCAGCTGTACTACTGCTCCTTCGGATCAGCACCTGCCGGGAAAAGAAGTCATCTTCAGCTTGTTACAGTTTTGAGAACTACATCACATTTTAGCAAATCTGACACACAGAGAGTTATTAGAAATTAATTACAACTCAGCCAAGATATTCTCATGGATATTCAGACTACTCGACTGTCTGTAAGTGCCTCTGGGAAAACACACTTTCCATGTCAGTCTTCATCCTCCCTTTCTTAACCTCAGTTTACACACAAACAACCAGGACCTTTTACTTGTGTTTTTCAACACACCTGAAATAATTCAAAACTTTATAAAGCATCAAAAAATCTTTCAGCTTTCATATTTCAAAGACAAACAGCCTGAGCCATTTATTGTTTTGGCTGCTCATTCAAGAGTTGCCATTAAAAATGTATGAAGTTTGCCTGTCCTAATGTCAATTCACACAAACATCTGCCATGCACGGCTGGTGATAAACCTGCGCTGAAGAGAAGCATTTTCCCCAGTACTTTAAACCATCAAACATTTATTCCAGTGTACTGTAGCTCTATAATAGCCATGAATTATTTATATCTTAAAAGTTATGAACTTCTTGTTGACGTTTAATATTTTAAAAGAGCACAAAAGTCTTGCAGAAAAGCAGAACTACATAAACCTGCAGAAGCAGCTGACGGGATCAGGAGACACAAAGTGGCCACACCAAGCAGTGTAATCAGCAGTTACAGCTCAGTTCTAGATTCCGTGCCAGAAATGTGATTAATGATTTTTCACACTTTCACTTCCGAGAGTTTCTAAATGCTAAAAGGTATCTGATCTGGAAAAACAATAATCACTTTCTGTTTTGCCTTACTTGCTCAGCTTCATCCTCCTTCTTTGCATGTCCCTTGTTTTCCTGAACTGATTTGGAGTCTGAAGTTGAATTATGAGAACCTCCAGCCTTTTTACCTAGAAATTGTAGAAAGTAAACAAGAATTATAGACATTTGTGGTACCAAACTACATAGCAAGTCATATGAAGATTTCAGTGACATGTCTCATATTTATAGCTAGGGGAGGCAATACAACATTCATATGGGATACAAGATGTTTCAAAAAACAGACTTGCACAAGAGGAACAGAACTCAACTTGCAGCTTAAATACACTAAATTTAAATGCAAGTCAGGTGAAAAAAAGTTGAAGAGTTATATACAAAAATGCATACATTCAGGTTTCATTTTTATCCTCTCTGCTTTAGAAAAGGTCATGTCCTGCAGTCCTAGTCTCAAACTTCTTAAAAACAGTTATTTCAACAAGATACCAACTACATATTTACTAAGAAAATAAGATGAAAACCATTTTAGAGGAGAGCTGGAACCCAAAATAAATAAGAGCAGCATTTATGAGACTGAACAAGTCTCAACACTTTCTCTTCAGAAGTACACTATTGCTGCATTTTACCAAAATTACCTTGAAAAAAATCAGATGGAATCTGATCTGCAATATCTGAAGTGCTGCTACTTCGAGTCAGCTGCTGCTCTTGGTCTGCAAACGGGCCCACAGCTTCTGATCCTTCTGAATTTTCCAGCTGTTGAGATTCTTCAACTTCTGTTGATTTAATTAAAACACACAATATTTGCAGGAGCTCAAGATTATACACATGTCTACACGTGTGAACTCCCTGCCTAAGAAAGCTCTATGAAATAGTCATCCTTGCAAATATTTAAAGTTCCTAAGTTTTACAAGTTATAATTTAAGTTTTATAAAAATCCTTAGGGAAGTTTTAAAGTTTAGAGACAGATGCACAAGAGAGGCATGAAAATTTCAATGAGAAAGTAACCTGACATCCTGGGGAGGGAGCAACAGGAACTCTTGGGATTAGGGAGCAACACAGTGCTTTTAGAAATGCATTTCTGTTGGCATTAGGGGGAAAAAAAACCCAAAAACCAAACAAAAAAAACTAGTAACACTTGGCATCAAGTGTGTTCCCATCCAGCAGTGTGCAAGTTTAAATACTGCTTTACTACTCAATAAACATTGCAGGTATTTCAGAAAGTCATCTCACAGAGGCACAGGCACAAAAGCTAATGTTTCTGGTATTTACTGACCTTACAGTATCACTGTTGCCTTGAAATTACTTACAGAAACAAATAAAGCAATCAACGTAATTCACTAACTGGAGCAATTTCAGTGTTCCCCTCCAAGAAAACTTGAGATGAAAACACACCAAACGTATTTCACAGAGCAGGAATCCCTACAGAGCCATAAAGCACCACACACAAAACTCTCCTTCTCTTGCTACTGCAGTTAATGCCCTGGGTAGGACTCAGGAGTCAGAAATCCCTCCCAGGAAGAGAAATTTGGGAAATTTTACTTTAGTTACTAGAGAATATAAATCTAATAGCAATTGATGGTAATCTTCAATATTAAATTGAACAAAACCTGTATTGCCTGCAGTGCTACAAACTGAGAAGAATCAACTGGACAGAAAGGGAACAGACAGACAGCAGTTTAAAAACATAAATAACATTGATATAAAAGATGACTTTAAAGTACAGTACCTGACAGTCTGTGAGAGCAAGAAGTGTAAGAGAGACCAGGGAAGAGAGAGCTCACAGTGTGAAGCAGAAGAGGTACACTTTTAGTAGCTGGCAAAGCCTCATAAAGATGGACACAGTTGCTGATAGACTGGCTTCGCTTAGCTTCCAGGAAAAAATAAAGCAATAATTATGTCAGACAAAGGAATGAAATATTTGGGTTCTAAATGTCAAACACAATGCTTTGGGATAAAAAAAACCCCCAGCAGCTTTCCCCACAGGATATAAGTTAATAATGTGCGACTGCATCTCTCACATGGAAATAGCAATAACCAGGGACTTCTGAATCACAGCAAGTGTGGAAGTGCCTTTAATTTGAACACACACGACTAAGAAAAGTCCTGGATCAACACTTCCAGGTTCTCTCTACTGCTCTGGTGGGACATCAAGGGGAGAAACACTGCAGCAGAGCAGAGAATCCTCTCCTGGAGCACACACTGGGACCCGCTGAGTTTGAAAGTAAAACAGACAGAGAAGGAACTGACTGTTGCTGAAGTGTCCTGTGATCCCAGCTGAAGGCTCTGGCTCAGTTACAGAGCCTGGAGCCACAAACCACACGGAATGTCCTTCCAGTTCTCCTGGTAAGGACCACAACCAGCTGGGAACCAGGGAGGGAGCTGTGCAGCCAGACAGCTCCTGCTCAAAGGTGAGCATTTCTGTGGAGAGCTGGGATCCACAGCCCAGGGAACTGGCACACAGGAGGATGCTCCCATGAAACAAAGAGAGGGCAGGTTCAGGCTGCTGAAGTGCTTGAGCAAACAGGGACTTGGTCCATGTCTGGGGTCTCCAACACTCCCCCAGCATGCCTTACCCCAGTCTCCCTCCTCCTGCTTTCCTTTTTTCTTTTGAGAGGAAAACCTCATCATGGTAAGAAAAAGAGAGAAAATAAAGCAACTATGAAAGGATAAAATTGTTTATTAAATACCTGCTTTATTACGTGTTATCTGTTATGTGACTGATGGTAATTTAGGCTTTCTTATGAATTGATAAAAATAGCAATGTACTTCTTTACAGAAACCCCTAAGATGCACAAGTCTAACTTGCAATTCAGTGTCCTGTAGCTAAAAGCTTACATTTAGAATTCCCAAAATACTTTGACTCCACGTCTCCCACTGGCCAAGACATCCAGATGCACAACACCTGTTTGCGCAGGTAATTATGAAGCTGCTTTTGGCAGCAGCCAGACCTCAAAGGCAGCTATAAAACTTGTGTTCCTGAGTGTAGAGGTACAAAAGCACTCAGTTATGGTCTGACCTGTCGCTCTCTGACGAACAATATTTCGGGCTTTCTCAACTCCAGGGGCCCCAGAGGTTGTAGCGCTTCTGAATCTCATCGGCTCCACGACTTCAGGATGACTCTTCCAGCTTAATGAAAAAGATCTTCCCACTACTGCTGTCTTCTGAGGCTCTAAAATGCCACCTTAGGGCAAAGAACACAACATTCTCTGGCACCGGATGCTTTGGCACATATTTCTGCTGATGGATGAATGAACTCAGGCATCACAAATATTAATACTTTAAACAACACAGATGAATTTTTACTATTAATAAAAACCAATGGGTACTTCAACTCTGTGCCTCAATTTAAAGGTGGCGTGTAAGTGCAGCTAAAAAACTGTAAATAATAAAGTTATTAATAACACATGGAAAGGAATTTTTACAGAGATGCCTGTGACATTCTATAGCACAGGAAACCACCTTTCATTTCTGCTACACAGAAAGCACTGACTGTAAGCACACACTCAAACCTGCCAAACAGCTTCCTATCTACTCTTGACCCCAGCTGCCTCTCCTTCTCAATGAAGGATGGCAATACAGAAATCCAAAGTGCTCCACATTTGACTAAACAGGTTCTTACGCTAGATTAGGTAGCATTTAATGTTAAATTAATTTTAAAAATTAAACTTAATATTTACCTTGTTTGATACAAAAAGCACCGAGCACACAGACTGACCTTTTCCCCTCTGCTTTTTTTCCTTCTGTTCACTGAGCTTGTCCAAGGGCAGGTTGGTCATTTCCACGCCATACACAGTCCTGGCCAGCACTGCTGTCAGAGAGTCCATGATGTTGGCCCACTCGTTGATGAGCTCCTCCCAGTCCGTCAGGGAGGACAGGACACTGAGCAGCTCATCCCACAGCTCCCGAGAGATGTAAACGCTCAGGTTCGCTCTGATCCAAGCCACGATGAGGGTCTGAGGGAAAAAAAACAAGTGGCCCTTCAGGCAGGTCCAACAAACGAATTCAGCACACAGTTTACAAAAGAATTACTTGTAAAACAGGAAAAAAGTCCTCCTTCCCAGTAATACGAGCAGGTTTCATAGCACTGTGCAATAGCACTTAGCTAAAACCACGGGCAATCCTGCTGAGCCAACACAAACCAAGCAGCCCCACTCACTCACTCGGAACAGCAACCCAGCCATGCTCTGGGCAAATGTGTCCTTTGGCTGGTTTTCTTTCGGCTTCTGCATCACAGCTTCTGTTATTCTGAGGAGTATCTGTAGCATCTGTTCCCTGGTTCCAAAACAAAATTGCACATTTGTTCATATGTTCTACTAATTGTACTTGTTCATTAATTCTCCAGCAAGCCTCATTTATTGAGAATACGGTCACGCTTTGGACTTCACCGATCATCTGCAAAATAACCTTAGCCACTGGCTGTGGACTGTGAAAAGCTCATTTTTGAGGTGAAGTTAGGAATGGAAATACCAGCCAGAACCTTGAAGTGAAGCAGTATAAGGATGCAGGCTCAGCAGGTTCTGCAATCTCTCAAATCGACTCAGAGGCAAATCTCAAACATAACTTAGGTAGCAAGGTCTGCCCCTGAGAAAGCCAGTCTGTTCCCTACCAATAACTCTCCCAGAAAGTTTAAATGTTGATAACTTTCTCTTAAATGATGCCATGTAAAGTTTACCATGTCTTCTTATTCATTGACAGCTCCATTATCATGCGCCTGAAGATACTGAGAACAGCTTTGCAAGCATCGACCTGCTCCTTCAGCAGCACCGGGACCTCCGTGCACGGCTCCAACAGGAAAACATTGGCCGAGTTTGTCAGGAACACCTTCAACACAGGCATTGACACTCCATTTACACAGTGTCGGCAAGGAAAACAGTCAAGACTTACAATAAAATACTTGTCCTCCTCTAGTTAAACCCTTCCCTTTCCTTAGGGAAGCTCCATGTTTTACCCATCACTTTGTTTTTCTACATCATTCCAGCGAGCAACCACGTGACATCACAGACCCCCCAAGGCGGACAGGGCTCAGTGTGGGGCTTGTGGATGTCTCCTCTGTTTGGGCAGGCAAGAGGACATTCCTCCAGCCACTCATTTCCTGCTGTTATATGCTTGAACACCTCTTTTCCTTTGTCTCAGAGACTCGAAGGTGATTTGCAGTGTGAGTTACATGCTTAGGGAAGTTACAGCCGCGTCCCCTTCCCACACAGCACACCTGTAACGCAGCCTGGGCTCCAGCTTTCACATCTCTGTCCTCATCTTCCAGCACACATCCCCTGCTCACAGCGCTGGTGAAGGAGTACGTCCTGCCCCAGCTGGAGGAGCGCTTGTGCCCCGAGTGCTCCGAGGAAAGCTGCCACAAACACAGCCCGGTCAGTGACAGAGAAGAAAGGAACGTGTCCACATGGATCAAAACCATTTAAAAGGTCAACAGCAAAAAAGGGGGAACTGTCATGACCTACATTCATTTCCTCAAGGAATTACTATCTATTATTTTTTAATTTCTGAACAAACAGGCTGTATATGGAATTTAAAGGCTCATAAAAGTTTCAGAAGGCGTGTTATTTACAATATTTTACATCATGTTTTGTAGTCACTGATGGTAGTAACATTTAAATTTAAGTCTGGCAAAACTCTAAATCCTCTACAAAAATAATCTGCTGAAACCTTGTAATCCTCACTAGGATTTACAACTCAAACCTCTCCCTTTAAACAGCATCAATAGCACCAAAGAACTTTTACTGACGCTTCAAAACAGTGTTTTGAAAAGATGATGCACAGAAACAGCAGCTACACTTTAATTTCCTAGACTAAGGTGCTCAATTGCACATATTTCATCCAGTAAATATAAGTTAGTACCCACTGTCAAAGTCTCAAGTAACTACCACCAAAAGGCAATAGTCCTCCATGCCCAGGCAGCAGACAGGCCATTGCAGCACTGCAGAACCTGTCAGGGTGTCTGTCTCCCTGTCATGTTTGTAAACACAGGGAATAACCACAAACGGTGTTTCCCAAACCAGCTGCAATCCTGCCCTGCGCTCCCTAAGTGCTACTGGACACTCAGTAACTATTTAAGTTGTGAGTCCTTAAATAAAAGCATTTTTTAACCTTTATTCCCCACACATTTTTAGTTGTTACTCCTTTACAAAGCGAGGTGAAAACTTAAGCGCTGCATTGCGGGTGGACAGAACAAAGTAAGGAACAGGGATACCATACATGTTTACCGTCTGTTTGCACTGAGGAGTCTTCCAGGTGGACAACAGCATCCTGGCTGTCCTCCTTTTTGTCTGGCTCCTCCATGAACACGGGCTTCTCTTGCAGTATCCACTTCTGATACACCTTCACCACTTTCCGTGTTGCGGATACATCAGAAGGTGGCAACAAAAAAGCCTAAAATGAAAAGTTCACTGATTTTACTCTATGTAGGACATGGATGTGATGCACATAAACACCCACCCCACACTGCTCATCTTTGCTCACTGCACTTTTGGAAATCAAGACAATGAGTTTATTTTCAACACACTACTCAAGATGTGTATCTGGGAATCATTCTGGGAAGATGTTCTCTCTGAAGGCTTACACAGGCCAGGCTGGCTGCTACCCCATACCTCTGCAGGTCTTAGGAGACCAAAAAAAGTATAATAGTGACTCAAGACCTTTGCACTGCAGGAAAATCAATGTCTGAAAATGTCATCTGGTACCAAAAAAAGCATATTTTGCCAATTAAAAAAGTGATATTGATGTGCATTATATAAGTACTGAAAGAGATGTAAATACACTTTTCACACTAAAAAACAGTCCCTTTGAATTACGAGTAGATTACCACTCTCCCTGATAGACAGGATCAAACCCTACAGCATTTCCTATCCCCAGTTTAGCTGCAAACCCATTCCAAAGGTATTGCTCAGGCCGGGGAGCCTTTGCATCCCACAGCACAGCAACATAAAAGGGTCTGGTGTGCTCAGCATCACGTGTGCCCAGTTCCCAGACCCCAGCCTCTCTGTTCTCCTCACGACGACCCTTCTGTTCCCAATGAACCCCCCAGCAGCGAGCAGCCCGGGCAGTGACCTGTCGGAAGACCTCGTTGACGAAGTTGACGTAGCCGCGGGTGGAAAGCAGGATCCTCTGCACCATGTCGTAGACGCCGCGGTGCTGCTCGTCGATGCTGCACAGGCTGGAGTTGCTGAGCCTCCTGTCAGACAGGGTGCTGCTGTTGGAGTGGTTCCCGTCCTGCTCCTGCGACGTGCTGCCCTCCAGCTCTGCTGCCTTGTCCTGGCTCGCCCCCACCGTCTGCCAGAGCAAACACACCCCGATGGAACGGCTGCAACAGCACCCACCAAAGCTCTGGGATGCTCAGGCAGAGCTCGGGATCCCACTGTGCTGCCTGGCACAACTGCTGGGATCCAGCAGTCAGGCAGAGCCATTTTCAGTTACTGCTGGATCCAAGGAGGAATCTGGTCTTGTACACTCCACAAGCTGTGCACTTCCTATGGGCCAGAGCAGCTGACTGACTTGTCCACTTCAAAGAGCAGGAGTGCAGTGGTGGGAGTGGAGGAAGGCACAGACAGGAAACTGGAGAGTCTCTTAAGAGAAAAAGCATCTCTTTCTCTAAAATTCAGTGGGAAGTCCCTAATCCTAGAGAAGTCTCAACCGGCAGTTTGAAAGCGAAATACATCTCTAATATCTCTTTGTAAACAGCTGCTATAACCAAGATGAAAACAAAACAGCTTTTGAAGTCACTGGGAGATGGTCCATGGCACAACTAAGTATGACAGTTTACAGAGTAAATTCCAGAAGTCTAAATATAATACTGCCGAAGCTGGCAATACAACAAGCTATGAGGAAAATAAACTCCCAGTGAATAACTGAAGGGCTTTGCTTGGAGATTCCCTCCTCCATCAAAGGCAAAGAAAATCAAATAAGTACCTACATCATTTATTCACTATGGGGTAGCATTTCTTTGTGCTTCAGCTGTCAGTGCAGTGAGATCATCCTGCAAGGTTAGCATGTACATAAGAAAAGAGAGGCAAACTCTAAAGCTCACCTGAATAATTTTAGGGAGCACTTCTCCTCCATTTTTTGTGTTCTGAACAGCAGTTAAGTATTTCTTTTCAAGGAAGAAGGTAACAAGCCACTTAATAAAAACAACTCGAGCTGCCATATACGGGATTTTCGTGCTATAGACACTCTCATTGTTTCGTGTTGCAGTGACATACACTGGCCTTGGCCTGATATCAGGAATATCTGGTATGAGAAAAAGGAAACATAGAAAGAAAATGTAATCTTAAAAACTGTAACAGCTTCCAAACTCTGGTTTAAACGTATTGAACACGTCACCAGCATTTCCTCCCTGTGAAACAACAGATGCAATGACTGCTTTTATTGTATTAATGTTTATATTCTATCATAACTTTTCACTCCTAAAGAACACAGAGAACATAACAGCACAGATCTTCCCTGGAGGTTATCGCTTGTATCACACAAAACAAAGGAAAGAGAAAGAAAAGGGTTGCAAAAAGAAGGGCAAAATCTGAACTAGATAACTCCTCCTGCTACAATGTAAGTTCATTTTATCACTTTCGCAGAGTGTCTTTAATAAAGTGCAGACAGAAAGAGAAGATGGCTGTGGAACACTCAATAGTGCAAAGATGAAGAACAAAAGGATTCTTAGTGCATCAGAAAAGAGAAGTTCACACACTGAAATGAAAGACAGAAAACACATGGGAAGAAGTGGAAGATTGCTGAAGGGAGACAGGTTGGGTCACAATTCCTTCAGTTGCTTAGATTTAAGGAAAAATCACTTGTATACAGCTGGAAAACATGAAAGGCCCGGGCTCTAGGTGTAAACAACAAAGCCAAGGTGGCACTGAGGTGATTTTGGACACTAAATACTAAACTATAAAAACAGAAGGTAAAAGTCAAAGGGAGGGGAAGGATGATGAAGAAAAGGCTGGACTACATCAGGTGAGGACTAACACCACTGCTCCTATTGACTGTACTACATAATTCAGTAGAAAATTAGGAAAACCTTGTTTCTGAAATAACATGCTTTTAATCCTACAACTGCAGAGGTACATCTCAATTTTCTTTCAGTTGGCCCTTCATGCTCATTTTCTCTCCAATGAAAAAGGTAGCAAAATAAGGGTAACTAAGTCAGCTGCTCCCCCACACCTGGACAGCTCACTGGTTCTCTAAAAACCATCAGAGAGCACATTCTGTCACCTCCTTTTTCCAACTTTGAAGACAAAAACCCACAACTTACCAAGCACAGGTTTGTAGAGGTTGGTTAGCTTTGTAAAAGATGGAAACAAGTGAGGAAGATAGTATTTTCTAAACAAGGTGAAGAGAAACTTAAACCCAGTGTCTTGGTTCTCCTTGTTTTTCCACTCCAAGCTTGCAGCCTGTGTCATGGAGTTAGAGAGAAACAAACAAAAAGCCTTAGGTTAATGTGTTATACTGACAATCATCCTGCATCGAGCACAAAAACACACAACTACACTTTAACAAGAGCTAAAAAACTAGCACAGTCCTGAAACCCCCTTTACAAACTACACTGAGAATATAAAGTAAGAATAACCCCAGAGGGCTTTGGCATCCCCAAGACAGTGAATTCAGCAGCAGCCAGTGTGTTTGTGCTGGGAACACAGAAGCTGTCAGACCATGTTTTTACCAAATTTGCTTCTCACATGTAAATTCTGAAAAAGTTACTCTGGGCTACACTCCTATCAGAAATATTTATATATAATATAAATATATATGATATTTATATAGAATGACAGATTTTGACATTGAGTTACTCTTTTCATTTTAAAACACCTTCAGTTTGAGATGAGCTGCATGTGACTGACACAGTTTATGTGTCAGAGGCTGGATCAGGCTCTGCTCGGGACAGCAACAGGACAAGAGGAACAGGCAGGAACTGATTCCCAGGAAGTTCCACCTGGACATGAGGAAGAACTTTCCTGTGCAATGACTGAGCACTGGAAAGATTGCCCAGAGAGGGTGTGGAGTCTCCTCACTGGAGATATTCCAGACCTGTCTGCACACACTCCTGTGCCGTGTGCTCTGGGATGACCCTGCTGGAGCAGGGAGGTGGAACCAGAGGAGCCACTGTGGTCCCTTCCAGCCTGACCCATGCTGGGATTCTGTGGGAAACCTGCAATGCCCTGCTTTCGTAAAATACAAGACTGCTGAGTGTTTGTATGGTGTTATTTGCGTTGTAAATAAACATCACGAGTGTGATGTAAATAAAATGACACATTACATTCTCCTCAGGCATAAACTTTCTTAAAGCTGCAGATGTGATCTGCCTTCTGGCTCCAGGTGATCACTCTGCACTTCTATCAGATGACTTGAACCTCAGCCTGTCTGCAGCAAGGGCAGTGCCCAGCTCTGCTCCCCACTAACGAGCTACACAAATAAACGTGGGTGAACCACTGTGCAATGGGATTTACAGTGCAGTCAGGTTTGTTTAGATCCCAAACATGGAAAAAGTGTATAAAAGGAAGATTGAAATTTTATTTTTAACTGGAGTTGCGAGATTCTGATATGTAAAACAAAGGGTGCTGTGGAGGAAGCTGATAATTTCTTACAGTCACTTTTCAAAATAAAGCATGTATTCAAGATGACAAAATCCCTTCCAAATATCACTTTGGTCTTGCCTTTTGATATTAAAAAGTGTATGTCAAAGTATTTAATTATAATCTATTTTTTAAATTGAGCTCTTTAATGTTCATTGTCTATATAGTTTCCACTTTATTTCAAATATTGCTTTATCTGTACTTTTTAAATATATACATTATCTTAATTTCTTTCCTGTACAGATTCATCTGATCTACTTCTAATTAAATTTATGTACATGTTAGTTGCATCCTTTAAAAAAGAAATTTTAGAAGCCATCTCTTTTTATCTCTTCCTCCAGTGGTCCTTTAGATTTCTTTTCATCTAGGTATGTGTCCAAAGAGAACAAATCTCATCTTCACCCCATATCAGTTTTCTAAATGAAACCACAAGCACATAAAATAGTCAGTTTCCTGCAAGTTTGGATAACATTCATTCATTCTTATCACAAATGAGACAAACTTCTTATTATAACCAAAGATGGCACAAGGAAGCACCTTTGGGATGATTTTCCTTTCAAAAACAAGACTAATAAAGTGCAGGAGCCAGCTTCTTCCAGGGGAGGGGCAAAGCCAGCTCTGTACTGATACAGTGTAGAATTCATATTCTGTGACCAGTACATCCCCCAGATATGACTGGTTACAAACACACATCTTCCTCACCTGAATTACCATGTATTTTAACAGGAGCTGAAGAAAATAGCAGGTTTGGTCTTCAGCAATTTTCTCTCCAGAGACAGCTGGCAAAAGCGGGGTTATTTCCTCTGGAAAAATCTTAGCTAAAACAAAATGTTTTAAACATAAACATGAGAACACTGAAATAAAAGAATTTTCTATGAAAAGATCAATTTAAAATACCCAGTAATGCACTACTAAGCTGTACAAAACCCAAGTCCAGTAACTACTGGGCATTTCTCCCAGTCCTGCCACATCCCATCGAGGGTGGCACCGGCATCTGATTCCCCGTGGTTTCCAAGGACTGCCAGCAGCAGCCACTGCAGGTGAACCAACGAGCTGGAAACCTGCACACCTGCTTATTTTGCAGTGACAGGTTCCTACTGCTGCCTCTCAATTAAAAAAACCCAAACCAACAGGCAAACCACAAACCCCGACCGCTCTGGCTGACAACATCGGGCGGCTCTACAGCTGCACCAAGCAGAGCAGCCTGACAGACGGCATCCCCTTGGAATGCCACATTCCCGGTGCCCGGGTGGGAGCGGTGTTCCCACTCACCGTCGGGCGGGCAGGGCGGGCTGATGAGGCTCTCCAGGGTGCAGGGGCCCCGTGAGGACGCCAGGGGCGGGAAGCCGGGCACGAGGCAGGCGAACAGCAGGATCTGCTCCTCCCCACAGTTCGTCTGCAGGGCTTGGAGCCAGAGCAGGAACAGCCGGATTCCTTCACATCTTATCTGAGGAGGGGATGGATTTGTGGGAAAAGACAGTAAACTAAGTGCAGTAACGTGGTTAAATGGTTTAAAACATGCAGAAAGAGAGCTCTCACCCCAGCCAGGTGCTAGGAAGTCTTTCCATCATACCAGGGTGTTCACATTATTATTTTAATCCTAGGTTTAATACAGTATACTTAATGCTAAAAAGAGCTGAAAAAATGAAGCATTAAGCAGTATGTATTTATACCTTCTCTGGATAACTTTATGAAGGTCATTAAAGCAGCAAAATAACAGAAGACAAATGTTAAAATCATCTGGGATCACAACAATAGGATTTACGATTAAAAGGTAAGTAAAATTACAAAGCCTAACAACCTGAAAACCACTGATACTGAAAAGCTGCAAAGTGATATGCTTCATAAGAATTAAAGGGAAAAGGAATATGAAAACAAAGAAATACCTTGAGAGAATTTCCAGTGTGCAAAAGTTTCTTCAGAATCGACCCTGGATTAGGAAAGTTAAATAGGCACTATCAGACACAAAGAATGGGCCCTACCACCACACTGTTTTTTAAAAATACTCCACAAAAGGCTAGTTTAATGCCATTTACTCTGTGGCCACTGCACTAGGTTTTAAGACAACTGAGGGGGAAAAAATCCAAAGTAAAGCTGGTTACAATCACCATCATCATCAGTGGAGTAAGATTTACTATGGTGTGTCTCTCCAGTATGGTACTTTGGGTTTAGTCAGATGACAATGTCTCAAATTATTTTCATAAATAGTAAGGTTGTGAATTATGTACAGCCCTTACACAGGTTCCTTCCCTCCAGCTCTCTTCATTTCACAATACTAAATGGAAATTATTAACATGTATAGAAAACACGCATTAGTGCACGTGAACATTAAGCAAAAAGGAAATCCCAAGGCAGAGCTGTAAAAAATTGCTCACTCAAAAAATTATCCCAATATGGCCACCCAAGAGAAGCATAAAGAACATATCAGCTACAAAACAACTGACTGAAACCAATTTGTTCTGGACTAGCTCAGCTGAACCAGTATGAAGTGGTCAGGCAGATGTCTCCTCTTATTTTTGTCACTGCTGAGTGGAAATGTGACAACAGCCCTTTCCTTGACCTTTAACTTCCACTCATTGTTCTTCTGCAACAGCAATTCCTTGTTCTGATGACAAACAAGGCAGCTGGTGAGACAGTGCTGGAAACCAAACCCAACCACAACAAAAAAGTCCTACTCAGAAGGAACAGAACGCCTCCATAAAATTTACTTTAATAAGCAGCAAAACAAAATGTTGGGACTACTTTGGCAGCAGTTGGAAGCAGAACTTTCTGCCGCCTATTCAGTGCCCAAGTTTTACAGGATGAATTTCCAGGAGGCAGAGAGGATCAAGTTCCACACAGGATCTATCCCTGGTGGGATGCATTGGAACAGGCATTTCTTGTGCAATCACTTGCAAAGACATCCTACTGCAAATCTGCAAGTCACATACAGATCCACAGCACTCCTGAATCCCAATGTTTGGAGTTGGTCTGTGAATCCAAAGGGAGACCTAAGCAGGAAAAGGTGTGTTGGTTTAAATTCCCCTCATCCTGAGAGCTTCCATCACATGGAAGAGAGCCAGGTAAATCCAAGAAGATAAAAACTGAAAGAATATTCATGCAAAATAAAAGTGAAGCAGGCAATCCAAGGCACCCCAAGCAAGGGACACAGATCTGTTGCAGCAGGCAAAAACATTTTTCCATGTGCTTTGGGAATGCTGAGCTGCAAGTCTTCAGTGTGAGTACCATTTGTGTGGGCAGTGCTGAGGGATTCAGGGCTTGTGGAACCAGGGAAGTGACTAGAGAAGACATTGATTTTATTTGCACTAGAATGTTTTTAAACCATTTCTTCTTACCTATACTGCGAAAATGCCATCGATAAAAAATCCTCTCAGGCAGTAGCTGCAATATTTTCTGCAGGAAACAAAACTAAATAGTCAAATTTTCCATAATAAACTGGGTCATCAGAGGATACAGAGAAACGAAGACACACGACACAAATGAATTGGTAATACATATAAACAGAATACAACAGATGCAAATGCCTATCACGACAAGGACTCCTGCCCATGACCTTGCTCTCTGGTTGTGGAGAAAGACACTGGGAATGGTTGTGAATAAATATCACGACTCAGTCACGAAGCACTTTCCCTTCCCCCTGTGCTGCAGCTCTCCAGCATTGCCCGGGAGGAGCTCAGCCATTCTGAGCAGCTCTCCTGGGCTGACACTGCGGAGCCCGTCACGGCTCTGGTTCCAGCCCCCGGCTCCGGGCGAGCCTCGCTGGCTCCGGGCTGTGTTTCCATCAGCTAATGGGCTCTGACCCCCGGCTGAGGCACCGGGAACAGCGGGGCAGTTACTGCTCCTGAGAGCTCATTTACCTGTGCTTTCAGCCGCTCAGGGAAACCGAGCCAAATTACACAAACCCAGACTAATTGAATTCCCAGCACAGGCAGTTAATAAAGCACTTAGGGAATAATCCGTGGTGGCCTGTCTCTGGAGTTGAGGACTGATCCTCCCGAAGGCAGATCAAACACAACGAGAGGCTGTGGTCAAACCCATTCCCGCACAGTTTGGTTACGCTACAGGGCACCCACAAAGCAATTTAAGCACACGCTTAAGTGCTTTCCTGAACGGAGTCTTATCATCTTAGTTGCAAAGAACACTTGGGGTTTCCAAATGCTTTCTTTGTCAATTCAGCGGATGGTAATGCTGTTAAATAAGCTGGATAAATCAAAACTATTTAGGGGTCTTACTTGAGTAAATATGGCTTTAAAAGGACTTTAACAGGCTCCAAGACACCTTTTTTAAACTACTGGCAGTAAGGACTAGGGCTTGGCAGGCAGGTGAGGCAGTCACACAGGACAGCTCACCTACCGCTGCTCTGCCTGGCAAAGGAGTGACAGTAGACAGGGCTTCACACAGGTTCCACACAAAAACATGTCTGCATCTTACAGGTTTTCACCCATTGAAATATAGAATATAGGAAGATATATTTAAATGGGGAAACTACTTTTCAACAGCTACTTTTGGAAATCAAATTAAATCAAACAATGTTATAAATCACTGACAGAGTTCTTGTAATTATCAAACAAAAATCACTGACACAAACTTCTGCACAACAAAGCATCGTTTTCAGAAATACCACATGCAGGATGCAAAAATGAATGGCAAGTCACTCGAGCAATGGTGAGCCATTTTTTGGTGTTTTGCACACAGAAGCTCACAAGAGGAAACATCGCAGCCAAGAAAGCAGGAACTGGCACTGTGGGCAACCCTTGGAGCTGGCTGACACGGGTCAGCACTGCCGCTGACAGCAGTGTGCCTGAGACACGGACAGACTTTTTTATTTTTGACAACCAAGTGCTTCGGAAATTTTATACAGCACTCAGAAAAGTATTTTTGGAAATGGACCATTCCTTTCTCCATGGCAGAAGATGGAAGTCATGACAAGTTCACACGCTTAGGGAGCTAGAGCTCAGGTCAGACGGGCTGCTCCTCCTCCACACCCTCACCAGAGCACGTGCTCCCCAGAGAGTACTGGGCATTTCTAGAAGTTTATTCAGAGTAAACATGCAAACCAGGCACATCCCTTCTATGTTCCCAGAGTACTTTGTTTTGATGTTACTGCCCCAGCTCCCTGCCCAGGACACCGTGGCAGCAGGGACTGCAGGAGCAGGGGGTTGGTGGCCAGAGGTCTGGCTCCCCCCCTCTGTGGGCAGGAGGAACAGGCTTGGGATGAAGGATCTAACTGGCTAAAAATGAGGCCATGACTCACACTGGGGCTTTTTACCTGTTAGTTTAGGACCAGGTTTCTGCCAATCAGATTGCAGGATCCATGGACAAAGAGTTATCACTAACCATCTAAACATTAAACACTAGCAGCCCACCACTCCTCAGGACACTTTCTGACACTAACCTTTACTTAACTGGGCACAGGGCAAGAGGAGCTTTGACCTAACCCAGGAGCACTTCAAGTCCCCACTGGAGCAGTGCCACTCCCTGTGGGAGCTGTGTCTGTGCCAGGCCCATCACACACCGCGTGCCCAAGGCATGCAAGGAAAAGCTCCAGGAAACAAACAGTTGGACAAACCAGCAACAAAAACCGGGCTGGATTCAGGTGTCACAACACACTGCAGGGATGAACCTTCACACATCGGCACATTTATCATGGAAAACCAGACAATAATCACACACATTTTGTTTCCATTGTTTAAGTCTGTTACACAGTTTCACCTAAATGTGAACACAAAGTTCACTTCCAGAAAGTCGGCTATGACAAGGTGTGAGCTGACAAGGTAAAAGCTGCATAATAAAGACCCGTTTGAAAAAGAACTGAAATTCACTAACACTCAGATGTGAAAGTTAAGGCTGTGCCCAGAGAAAGTCTGGAACACTGGCTGTTGCAGAGGACAACAACAAAAGCAAGTTTAAACTCTGAACTGCACGAAGCCGGGAGGGTTGGGGCAGAAAACAACACCCTTACTGTTCTTTTTGCTTTACAAAACACAGAATCCAACACCCCTGTCAGGTGACTGAATCAAAACAATTCAAGGGTTGAAATCAATAGTACAGAAGCTCCCATGTGATCAAAGCTTCCATATCCCAAAACCTTTCCATATGGCAAAAACTTGAGACATTTATTTCCCATGAGTTCTCCTTATCAGCATCTCAAAACCAGGAAAACTATAAATACATGTATTTTGAAAAAATGCAAAGATGTGATTAATCACCTGCATGGTCCTACACAGGAGCAAGCAGAGTCAATCTGAAAAAGCACCCCAGACTGCTGGTGTCCCAGCTCCCTACTGCAGACAGCACAGCTCTGCTGCAGAGCACAGTCAGTATAAATAATATATAAATATAAACTGAGTCCACATTTGTTCCTGCAATGCCAAAACATGTTACCATGGTTAAAACCCACACCTTCAAACACAAGTTCCTGCAGGTTACGAGTTAACCCCCAGTCCCAGCCAGCGCAACATTTAACTGGTGATTTTCGCCTGTGAGTCCGGGGTCCCCAGACTGAGATGGGGTTGGAGTGCAGCACGACACAGCACAGATCCCAAACAAGCTCCAGTTGTTCCCACTGCAACTTCCCATTTCCAACAACATTTTCTACACCCTCCCCACCCTGGTGTTCTAAAAATCACATATTGCTATTCCTGTAAAACAAATGCTGGTTTCTTCCCCTCCAGCCTAGGCTGCCATCCACACCGCTGTGAATCCGAGCTGGCTATTGACATCTTGTTCCTAGTTTCACAGTACACTAATAAGAAATGTTTTAAGAAACCCCACAGTGCGAAATAATATTGCTTTTTCAGAAAACACATAGATCTATTTAATGCTTAGTGCTTTGCTGCATCTATATGGTAATCCATTATAGCACACTTGAAATAGAAATTAGGTATTACTACTGATCAACACATCAGGGTATCTGTCAGTTCTTTTAACTGATTATCCATAGTTCTTTTTCGTTTGGACTTCCTGCATGACTAGGAATAATGTTAAGTTTAAATCTTAGTTTACACAGGATGCTGCTTTTTGAAAGCTGGATCTCTCTCTTTTATCACAGTAGAATAAAAACCACCAAGGTTGTATTTCAACAGACTTGCTCCGACTTCACCAATACTGCAATTTCTTTTTAAAAGCCTTTTATTTTTGCCCCCGTTGTTGAATGATACCATGACTGGCAGCTTTGTGCCTATCACTGAGTGCTGCCCCAACGCAGGGACAGCTGGGACTAAACCTTGCACACGAGATGCCCCCAGCCAGGATGTTTCCAGCTCCACTAACAGTGAGACAACAGGCACCACTGTCCTGCTGCCAGAGCTGCTCCCGACCTGGAGCTCAGTAACAAAGCCACACCAAAGGTGCCCTGGCTGACTGAACGCTCCTGGAGGCAGTGACAACAGCAGGGACAATGTGTTTAACTACCGAAACCTGCAGCAATTTAGACATTTTCCAGCTCCTATTCACCGGCTCCGATAAGCCAAGAGCCCAGTGGAGTCAGCTGGGCTGACTGCAGCAGTTCAGTTGAAATGAAGGGACCCTCCATTTATTGCGTTAATAAATTATTCACAGTCATTTGCTGAGGGAAAATGTCTGCCCAAAGCACCCAGGGCACTTATTACTGCCCCAGGCATAACAAGACACAGTAAGATCTCTGAAGTCAAACGTAGGAAACTTAGAATTTACCACAGAAAGCTGCAAGAATAACAAGAATGTTTATTAAGAGCAATAAAAAATGAAATCAGAACAATGGCAGAATGAACTGCAAATGGTTAAAAAAGTAGTTTTCCATGTGTAGAAAAGAAGAGCTCTAAGCACTGTTATTGTTATAAACAAAAAAGCCCTTTTTTTACTCTAGGTGAGCTTGAGAGTCAGCCAGCCAAGTCTGTGTGACACACTGGAGGTTGAACAGTGCAACTGGGAATCCCAGTAGGAATTCCACAGGAACCCACTGCAAGGCTGAAAAGGAATCTACAACCTGAATTTAAAGCTGTAACTCTGCATTTTAAGCTCTGACTCTTAATGGTAACTTGATTTCAAGTGTCTGATAACCTACAGGTGGGGAAATTAAGATACTGAGCTGTACAGACATGAGGGAAACGCAAACAGCAACAAGGAAGTTAAATAAAAGGGGCAACCCCAAGAAATGAGAAATTAGGACCTGTGGCAACAGGAACTCAACAACAACTTCATAATTCCCTGTAAAGAATTTTATAAGTACTTTCTTTTACCATTGATTGGTTTCAATACACAATTTAATTCCTCAGAATTCAATTATACTCACTTTTGTTCAAAAGGTAGCAAGTAATTAGGAACAACATCCTAAGACAAGCAAACCACCCTAAGGTAATGCTACAAATATAAAAGAGTGTCTTTTTGCACATTCATAAAAAACACCAATGCAGCACCTAACTTTTAAATAAAAGTTAGGAGTCCAAAAGTATTCCAAGTTTCACTGATGCAGGTTTTCATGAAATTGAAAATGACCTGCTAAAAATGACCACTGGTTTGGAGATTTGTTTTGAGCTGCTTCACCAGTACTGGTAATTCACAGAGCAGTCTCTACAAAGGACACCTGTAAGGTGTCAGGAGAATTCAGTATTTCAAATACCCACAGCAGTCTTACTCCACAGTGAACCAAAGTTATATATTCTAACAGCTCTAGTCATGAGCATTACTAGGAGGACTAAAAAAGCAGTGTCTGTGCCCAAGGTGTGTCGGTGCAGTGTGAAACATGAGGGCTCTTTATGTTATGTTACTGTGCACTGGTAAAAAATGAACAAGCAGAAAAACCCAAGCTGAGAAGCTCCCAGCAAACACATCCCCTGGGGGAGGTGGGAGCACCCGCCCCACCTCCTCAGCTGTTCCCAAACCTACAGTGACACCTCAACTATGTTGACAGGACCTGGAACACCTTCAGCAACAGCAGCCGCTTCCAGAAGGGGCTTTGGGAAGCTTTTCTACGGTAGAAAGATTATCGGAAAAATTCTGAGAATAAAGCACTTCATGCAGTGAACGTGTTAAATCCGTGGGATGAATGTGATGACCCCATCAGCACAACAGGTATGATGTGGCTGTTCCTCACTAATAAAGCAAAATTACAGAGAATGGGAAGAAATTGAGCTATGTATGATATCGAAGCCATCAGTCTGCTTTTACTTCATTAGAGATAAAACAAATGCAGTGTCAGAGGAATCAGTACCTGATGCTGCAAGAAAAAAATATATTATTATTAAAAAAAATCCAAGCTTTCACAACCAGATGATGACATAACACTGTAATGGGACCCAGATAATGGACATAAATGTAGTGCACCTTCTGTGAGGTCTGTGACACACCAGGCTCAGAGCTGCCCTCAAACCTGAGAACAGGGACACAAGGAACAATAGGAACCTGTTCTGCAAACACACTGCAAATCTGGAGAGAGCCAAACCTCAGCAGAGAACAAACAAGTTTGTTGTTCACGTATTTTTGGGCTTCTAGCTGAAACAGGGAAAAATAACACAGTACAGCTGCTGTGTCATTTCACAGATACCTATTTGGAAAAAGACAAGGCCAGAGCACCTTAGAGAATATAGAGTTAGAACCAAGAATTTTGTGGTATTAATTGCAAAAAAGCACTTTCCAAAATGAACAGTTAAACCTTCACATTCCTCCCTTCTGATTAACATTTCTTCTTCAAATAACACATTGTTTGATGTTGTTGCTGAGTGGCCAAGCTCTGTAGCTGATGGGTAAAATTAAAAAATCCATAAATTACAGCCCAGTTAAGCCAGTTTGCAGAGGATTTGTGGGAAAGGCCTCTGTTGCCCAATACACACACTAGGTGTCACTCCACCACAGCAGCACGAGCCCACCAAACCTCCGGGAAAGGCAAAGTCAATTCCCTCATAAATATTTTTATTGATTTTTAAGCTGTTAACACTCAGCACCTGGACTCTGGATTTGTTAATCCTAAGTAATTACCTATTTAGCTAATTAGAAGAGAATGCAGCATCCCCCCAGCTCACACTGACATCAGATTAAATATGGAAAGCTCAACAAAATTAGTTTGGTTTCCTCTGGCTGGGTGTGAATGTTCCATCACTGGCATTCCCTTTTGCCTGGCCTGCGCTCATGCTGATGGGTTCTTGGTCGGTGCTCCAAGGCCTCCACTGGGCTGTTCTCCAGGGCATACCTTATCCAGTCTCAGTTTACACGGACTGCAAGGTCACTCCAGCAGATCCCCACCATGAAGTGGATCACCCTGAACCCCACACAAATACCTTAAACCATTTCCTGCTCCCCAGAGCTGCCCATGACCCGGCTGTAACACAGCTCTCCCCCACTGGGACCCCAAGCAGCCCCAGTGCAGACACAGCTTTGGGTTTTTCCTCCTTCAGACAGCACGTTCTCCTGATGCTTTTGGGGAGCACTCAGGGGCAGTTCTTAGCCCCAGGAATGCAGCTGTTCCCTCTCCCCAGGTGAGCCAGCATTAGCTATTTCCCACTCGGTGACAGGGCCACAGAAATGTCACTCCCTATTAAAGGGTACTAATGAGCTGCCATTAACTGGCACAGCCCTGCTCGGTGCCCGTGTGACACCTTCCCTGCTGGGCTGGGGAGGGAGGAGCAGGAAGAGTTCCTCCTGCCCCGAACACTGACCTGGCACATTTTTGAGCTCACGATCTTTGACACTGCCCTGGGCAAAACCCTAAAGCAGACTCTACTGCGGTAAGGAGCAGAAAGCACAGTTCAGATTTCAGTCTCATGGTTCCAGGGGAGAAGGGAGGGAGAAGAAGAAAAGGGAGATGAACTGGCTGCAGCAGTGAGAATCCGAGACCACAAAACCCCAGGATTTCATGACAGTGTTTTCATGGCCATTTTTCCCATTACAGGCACATTAGGCTAAACAGCATCATTTCTACTATCAATATAAACACCATTCCAACTACAAACTACTCATTAATGCAAAACCATGAAACCACATACTTCTAAGGGGTTTGGGTTGGGTTTTTTTTAGAGGGAGTGAGAAGAGTTGAGAACAATTAACTTTTGTTTTGACTTCCTTTTCTAGAGTCCCACTGAAAGTTTGAGGGCTTTTTTCCTACCACCCCTACAGAAAAATAACCCAAAATATAAACAAAGATGGCACTTCTGTGATGCGACACACAAATAAAAAGTTAGTAGTTGCAGTAACAAAGAGAAAGAAATAAAGAAAACAAAAATAGAGAGAAATCCACAGAAGATGTGTGTTTAACCTTAAGAAAGAAATCTGGCCAATTATTTTCCTAAATAACTGGTAAAAATTAATATTGAAAAGTGTCACTGCTTTCTGAGTACAGAGACGGGCAGAGCTTATGCTAAGAATTTCAGTGTGCATTATAAGAATGTTTTTATATGCTAGGCTTTCATCTGGTCCAGTGATATTTTCTGGATATTTCACATCCAAAATATATTTACTTAATAACTGTAATTAAAGAGGTACCTCAGAAAATTATCTATCCCAGACTATTCTTCTTTTAATTTAAACAATCCTAATTGATTATGCAGAAGTTAACTAAGTAACATTTCCTCCCCAGACACTGCCCATGCTCTGATGGCCAGTGCTGGGAAGGAGGGAAGGATTTGCTTCTGGAAGTGAAAGATGCTCCACTGAACTAAAAAGGTTTAACAAATTAGTATTTCACATGCTCCGATTAAACTGATGTGCGGTAGCTGACAACTCCTATCCTCTTATTTCCCTTGTGCTGCAAGACCAAACACTGTAACCATAACAGATGCCTTCATGTGAGAGGAGCTGGGCCCAGACTCCTGCTGTGACACATTCCAAATAAACATAACACTGAACTTCACACTGACACAGCGTAGGGAAACAGTCCTGCTGTTTTGAACTGCCCCTCCACAAAACACAGAAGCAATACCTTCTTTAATTAAAATAAAAAAGAACAGAAGAAACAGACTATTTTGAAAGCTTTAGCCTAACAGCTACGGAACCATTGATCACACGCTCCCCAAATGATCCTGAAAACCCCAGCTCAACTTCAGCCCCAGTTCCTCAGGACACACGTGTTACTGCAGGACTTCCAAGCCATTCTGAGAAAACATCTCAACTCTGCATATTCATTTAACCAACACTCACTGCATAATAAAATGGTTGTTGTACTGAAAGCTGAACGCCCTCCCCAGCTCTGTTCTGCCTTTCCCCTGTGACTGACACCTGGTTTCACCTCTCGCTGCAAAGCTCTAAGTAAACACAGAACGACAAAAATACAAATTTGCTTCATGGTACGGAAAACTTACTTCAAAAAGAAAGAGGATGGAGTCCAGCTCCTCCCTTTGTGATTTATTCCCTGCAAGACACAAACCAATATTGTCTGCCATAAATACACAGTGTGAGACAGCAGAATCAGGCTGTTGTTGTTCAGCTGAATCAAAGGTGTCGCCCAGTTTATTTTTCATCCTTATCCAATATCCCAAGTGCAAGACATGTCCAAACTGTGGTGCCTCTCAGTGCTCTGACCACGTCTCACCCGAGCAGCCTGAGCTGCAGGACCCCAGAAGGTGAGAGGACACACAAGTAAAAGCACAGGAACTGAGCTCTGTGCTGAAATGACACTCAGCCATGAAAATGAACTCAGAAATCTTATCAGCTGCTGACGTTTCAGAGAGCCATTTTCCATGCTCGTCTCTTCTGCTGCCATGAAATTAAAGTGATTAATACTAATGCTGTGCTGCATGAAACTATTGATGCAAATATGGATAATCATTGGACAGCCTCTAATGGAATTGCTTTGGACAACACGTGGGGAACCCCAACCAACACCTGCTGGCAAAACTCTACAACTTACCTTTTTGTTTCAAGTTATTTTCCAGTGTTATGAAGTTTTCATAGAATATAAAATAAATTTGAGAATAATTATTATCAAAAAATTGCTTCAGGTCACTTCCATCCACAATATCTGAAAAGAGAACAAACAGTGTTATCACACAAGAGCAGAATGCTGAAAATTCTTGTTTTACTGCAAATCTAGCATTAGAGAATGAAATAAATGCAATACAAAACTATTTTAGTGACCTCAATGAATATTCAGCACTAAACTGCGATTCCATCCTTGCCAGTAAAACAGGGAAATGTCCAATTTCACTGAATTTATGAAAGTTTGCAGTGGGGCTTTGGTTCATTTACTTTCCATTAAAAAAAATAAAATAAAAAAAATGAGGCAGGTCTCAACCATGTAACCAGCCAGCTTCTGTACCACTGAAATAAGCAGGCACTGCTGGAGAAAACAAACACCAGCAAAGATTTCTGGATGCAAATCCAGTTCTTAAATTTACCTGGCAAAGAGATCAACTCAGAAAACAGCATATTTCTAATTTTTTTTTTAAAATAATGGCAATCCAGGCATGCATCACTTTCCGAAGCCTTAACTTACATCAAAAATTTGGACTAAGTTTACTTTTTAAGAAGATAAAAGTCCGATGTTTTCTTAACCTGACACTTGCCAAACACATTAACTTCACCCATTTGCTCTTTATTGCAACTGATTTGGTCCAGAAAAGTTAGGCAATTGCACCCAAAACTAAGAGGAGGAAGGACACCTTGTAAGAAACCCATTCACTAACCAAAAATAAGCTGATTGCAGCAACAAGTCCCAACAATATCCCACGACTACAGAAGAAAGAATGACTTTAGCCTTTGGACGATTTGATTTTTATTTAAATTAATACCTTTCCTGCAGTAAGGCTTTGCTTGGCTGCTTGTACTATGGAAACAATTAGTGCAGGGAAACTCTTCACCATGATATTTGTTTCCTACAAACTACTGGTCTTGAATTTGCAAGCTAAGTGCAATTATCCCTCGCCATGAATGCGTTCTGTTAAACACAACTCCGGGGGAAAACAAGGCCTTCATTTACAGGCATTTCATATGAAGGAATGAGGTCACTAAAATCTACACAAAAAGGAAACTTTCCCTGTGAATTGTGAAAGGAGAAAGGAACTGCCTTATCAAAAAAGTAAATTCTCCTTTTCTCTAAATGTGGCATCTCAGTGGTGACTCAGGGGCGAGTCTGATGTGAGCTGCATCCCTACAGCCACAGCCTTTTCTCACAGCTATGTTTAACTTGCAGCAGGATACGGCTCGTTCCTGTTTTTCAAATGGAAAACATCAAGGAAAGTTTCCTGGGCCATTTATCATTTGAGATAAGAAGACAGAACCCTGACTTTGGGGAAATCCCACTGACTGGCTGAGGATTTCTGAGCAGTGGAGGAAGTGAGGCAGCAAGGCTGGGGCTGAGCTACAGGTACTCGGGGTTACTTTTCCGTTTACTCTCAAACAGCTCAGGTTACTCCAGCTGCAAACGGGCTCTGAGCGCTCACACCTCCGGCAAGCTGGCACACAGCAGCAGCCACCAGATCCACAGCAGCTTCCCAAACCCTTGCAATTCACCCCATTCCCAAACAAGGACAGGTGATCCACAGGCTCACGCTTCTGGTTAACACTTGAATGGAGCTTTGGCAGCAAAATCCAGGAAACAGTCAGACATCCATGAGGGTCACATCCTATTTCTTCCACATAAACATGACATGACTGGCTCACTGGATGCCTCCCAGTCACCCTGACTTGCTTTACTTCTTAAATCTAAAATTTAGGGAAACAAACTACTCAGGTACCATTTTAATAAGAGCCTGAGTTTATTGCCAAGCCCTCAATGCTCTTCCTCATATTAAAAAAAAGTCCATGGGGGACAACAAGTCTCTCCTTAGCATACGGGCTTATCTTTTATCTTCCTGTTAACTACAAACATTATCACAGGCACTTGATAGAAATCCTCCCTTGGTTCCTTGAATTTCCAAAGTCACTTGACTTTATACTATTCATACAAAGCTCACTCAATTCTCAAGTACTTGAAAAATTAAAGGAGATTAAGAGAACTTCACAGTCATACCCTGGTTAATGATAAACTTTTACTACCAGCCTCACCCCAGAAATAACACACAATTTTTACTTATCTTCAAAAAAAGCATGTCAGCATGGAAACAGACTGTTACTGAAACACCCCTCCGATTAGAACAATTTCCAAAATAACGTCAACACCTCGAATTTCACACGAGCTCTCTGGAACAACACCAGCGAGAAGCCCAGACACATTTCCCTTTTGAGTGTCTCTAAATGAAAATTTCCACTGAGCTGGTATTACTGCAGCTGCACAGAACTGTGAGACCAAGCAGTGCCAGAACTGAAACCCCACTACTCTCCCTTATTATCCCATTTTTGATGGGCCAAGTTCAATGAAAAACAGGGTTTTTCCTAATTGGTATTTTGTAAAGACAAAGATTCAGGACTGCCCTTGGTAACCTAACAAAGTTCACATTTAACCTTAACTGAAGTCTGTGTGCAGCTGTAACAGGTCTCCCATATATTTGCCCACTGCTCAACAGAAAAAAGGATGAAAGCACTGGACAAGGCAGCATCCCACATCTGTACAGCAGTACTCATCACACCTAAGTATTTCAACTGTGCCTGAGGAGAAAACACTACTGCATAAGATGTTCCAAGTAAAAAGAGAGTATTTTTACCCAAGAATAGCCACAGAAAAAGTCTTGAAGAGCAGTGATTAATCTTTATACTACAGAAGTCCCACAGAAACCACTCTGGGAAACTGGAGAGGTTTCATTTATGGCCAGTCAGTGGGGAAGAGCCAACTCTGTACATCCCCACTGCTCCTTATCAATCCATTGTTTTTTAGGTCTGCTGTAAAAAAAAAAAAAAGGCCACACTACTGACACTTCCATAAACTATATTTGGAAAAAAAAAAATCTACTGACTTTACAAAAGTTCTGAACATAAATACATCTCTATAGCAATAAAAAAATAAGGGAAATGTTCTGGTCATTTCCCCAACACAAATGAACACCCACTTATTCTGGGTAGTGTTCTGTCCTGCCATGCAGGCAGGGCACCCCACAGATTAGGAATTTGGATCCTAAAGGGCATTCGAGCCCTGAGAGATGTTATAAGCAACACAAACTTAAAGGGAACCTTTTCTTTCAGTTTGGACACCGCACAAACTTACGCAGATGACACTAAGGGACCTGAAGCAATCCAGAGCTCACATGAGCCCTTATTTATGGAAATACACATTCCTTTACCTCATTCCTCCCCTATTATCGTCCTCTCTCTGATCTTTATCCTCCTGCATCAGTGGGATCACAGAAGAGTAACTGTCATTTTGTTTACAATTTAATTCCTGTGATTTAAAACTAACAAAGGAAGAGGAGTTGGCATCTCCTAAGGAAACACAAGACCAGGAGCAGCTATTTGGAGAACATGTGCCCCTATGGCTCCAGGGAAGCAGTTGGTGACAGGGAGTGAAACATCCAGGGTGGGAGGAACAGACACACATTCCTACCCTGGCCAGCACAAGAGGAGAAGAAAAAAAAAAACCAACTATTTTTGAGCCTTTATCCAAAAGCTTTGTTTTCCTTAAATACCGGAAAGGTCCTTCCCATGTGTTGCTTCATTGTCTGTGCTGACCAGTACCATAAAAGATACACTTGCAACAATATCCATGAAGATATCATCTTCAAAAAGCCCCTCCTGTACTATCTCAAACATTTCCATTGCTGTTCCCAAAAGCAGACATCCCAGGAACATCCCCAGAGCCGCTCAGACACAGTGCCCGCCCTGACCCCCAGCCCCGAGCAGCCAGGCAGCTGCCCCACCACGGCCCCCAGCCAGCCCTCTGGCACTGCCAACAACCTTCACTTTAAACCAAAGTTTAATCCAAGCAATCAGGTCACTACCTCCAAACACAGCAGCCACTTGGAAGGAAAGATGTCACTTCCCGAAAGCGACGCACGTGTTTCCCCCCTTGCCAACTGGGTAATAAGTATCTTGACAGAAAACCACCAGGCAGCACCACCTCCTGAACCATCTGGTTTGGGATAGAAATTAATTCTGGCACGCTAATGGGCATGGTTTTCCATTTGTTCCCCCTCCGGGTCTGTCCCAGGAGCCCGAGAGCCTCCTGGGCACCACAGGGGCACACAAAACCCAGCACTGCCCCGAGACAACCAAGAGCCAGAGCAAGGCAAGTACTGCAGCTTAAACCAGTTGGGTCTTGCTGAGAGGCTGAAAGGGGCACAAAAAAAGCTGCTCTATTTCTTAGTTCTTCGAGTCTATTTATTTCATCGAGGCTGGCAGAGAAGGAAGAAATGTACAGTCCCGAGCTCACACCGTGGGTCTCTGGTCATGATCTTTCTCAGGACAGTTTCACAAAACACTCTTAAAAAACTCTTAAAGAATTTCCCACAATTATTTTGCAATAAAGTGGACATTATTTTAATATAGTTCACACAGCACATGAGCTGCACATGAGCTGGACGTGCACAGTTAAAAGGCGCACGGCACCTTCTCCTGGCTTTTCAAATTCCCGCCCCCAGGCACTTCCATTCACGGTTCCATCCAAACGTAAACAAACAAGGCATTTCACACACCTTCCCAAACAAACAAGGCATTTCACACACCTTCCCAAACTTCCGCGTGTAGTTCATGCAGAGGGAAATTAACATGAAACTAATCCCCCGATTCCCAAGCACGGAACAGAGGAGTTTACACCCGGGGCAGTCACTCACCTTCCGCTCACAGCCAAGGTGCAGCGATGCCCACGGACCCGCTGAGGGCCTGGCACAGGAGCCTCCGCTTTCCCACCGCCAGGCACGGCCCTCACAACTGCCCCGCCTGGGAGCGCGAACCACGAGCTCAAACATCCACGGGCCGGGCACGTCAAACCTGCCCTTCCTGCCGCTCAGAGGATGAGCCAGCCCCAGGCCACGAGGCCGGCTTTGCCCGGCACTTTGTCCCCTCACCAAGCGCCCCCCCCCCCCTGGGCTGCCGGAAGGCAGCGGATCCCGGGAATTACCGTCCGTGAGCCAGGGACTGCTCCCACCTGCGTCCAACCCGGCGGCACCTGGGCACGGTCACGGCCCCTCACGAGTCCCCAACGGTCACAGCCCCTCACGAGCCCCCAACGGTCACTGTCCCTCACGAGACCAACGGTCCCTCACGAGCCCCCAACGGTCACTGTCCCTCACGAGCCCCCCAACGGTCCCTCACGAGCCCCCCAACGGGCCCCTCACGAGCCCCCCAACGGGCCCCTCACGAGCCCCCCAACGGCCCCTCACGAGCCCCCCAACGGGCCCCTCACGAGCCCCCCAGAGGCCCCTCAGGGCGATGGCTCCGCTCCGCGCGCCCCAAAGGGGCACGGCGAGCACCGCTCTCCGCTCGCCTCGGGACCGCCCTCGTCCTCCACCACAGAGCCTCCTCCTCGCCTTGCCACAGCACACTAAAAAAGCTTCTTTTGTTGTGTTTTCGCTCCTGCCGGCGGGACGCCAGACGCGAGGTTTTTTCGCTCCGAGCCCAGCCCCGGGCGAGGCTGCACAGGGCACGCCCCGGGCAGGGGGCTGAGGGAGCACCTGTGCCCCGCACGGCCCCAGCTGTGCCCACCCCGACCCCGCCGAACTACACCTCACAGCTGAAGCGCATCAGCTCCCCCCGACAAGCAACAGCTGAAAACCATCGGATCCTTTCAACGTGCAGAGCTGTGAGGGGAAAGGTTTCACCTGCGAGGCGACATTAGCGAGGTTCAACCTTGCCACACGCGCAGAAAAGCATCACAAAGCGCCATACCGTGGCCTCCTTTAAAGTTAAACAACAAAAAACACCACAATAAAAAGCCCCAAATTAACGCTGTTGTCAAAACCAGAAGAGATGTCCCAAAGAACCCCGCGGGAAATACGTTTACCTAATATTTACTACCCAAACCACAAGGCTGCACCAGGAGCGCCTGGACACCGGGAAACGCGAATTCCCAAAGGCAGGAGCAGCGAAACACACCCGCAACTTTCTCCCACGCCTCTGGAAAGGACACCCAGCGCTGCCCCTCGGCAGCGACAGCCCGGGGAGCCCACGGGGCTGCACGGGAGCCTGGGGGTTCCAGGGCAGCGAAGGGGGGCTTTTACGCCCCCGTTTCACCGCCGTCCCGGGGGAAAACACTCACCCAGGCAGCGCTGGGAGGGCGAGGAGCGCCCCGAGGAGGAGGAGTGAGGGCGCGGGTGCCCCTCAGGGCGCGGGGGGGGGGGTCCCCTCACGGCCGCCGCACTCACCCAGCAGCGCGCGGAGATGCTTCAGCCGGGTCAGCACGTCCCGCTTCGGGTCCAGCGCCTTCTGCGTGGATTTCCTGACGTCGGCGTGGCTCTTCCTGGAGAACATCGCGGCGGGGCCGGCCCGAAGGACGGGGGGACGCGGCGGATAACAGGGGGATGGATGCCGGGAGCGCTGCCCGGGCGCTCCCCGCACGCGCCGCTTCCCCCCCGCCCCGCTCTCTCCTCCGCCGCCGCGCGGGGCGCTGGGAGCCCCGCGCCGCTGACGTCACCCCGCGCGGCGCTGACGTCACCCCCCCGCTCCCGCCCGCGATCCCGCCCGCGATCCCGCGGGGAATGTCCGCTGTGCCCGCGGGATGGAGCCGCCGCACCGACCCGCCGCCTTAGGTACGCTCGGTTTCCTTTATCCCGCAATCCCAGACCGGCTGCGGTTGGAGGCGCCTTAAAGCCCTTCCAGTGCCACGCCCCTTCCACTATCCCAGGTTGCTCCAAGCCCCGTCCAACCTGGCCTTGGACACTTCCAGGGATCCCGGGGCAGCCACGGCTTCTCCGGGCAACCTGTGCCAGGGCCTCACCACCCTCACAGGGAACGGTTTCTTCCCGTTGGATTTCTTCATCCAATCCACCTCTCCATAGGAAAACCCTCAGCTTTTGAATAACTGCTCGCACTATAAATATGTAAATATTTACTGTCTTTATTCCTGTGACACAGAGAGTTCATAGTTATACAACAAAAGCATGATCCGCCCCAGAATTAGGAGCCAGCAGGGTTTCACTGAAAGGTCTTTAGATCCTCTCAGTAAAATCCTGTGTATCCTCTCAGTAAAATTCCTGTGTAAAAAAAAAAAAAAAGTAAATTTTAATAAGCTCTAAGGCAGGTTCTGTGGTCCTAAAAAAGAAAACAGTGTGTGTCGGAGAAATAACTTGCTTGTATACTTCTTAGTCTTTAACAAAGTTATTCAAGAATCAGTTTGCACGTCACGTAGAAATTATTTTTCAGCCGTGAATCATTGTAGAATAATAAAATGTCCCAAGAAATACTATTGTTAGGAGCAGAAAATACATCACTGCCACATCTCACTTCCTCTGAGCCCTCTCAGGGACCATTTCAGCTGCAAAGGCCTGGGGTCACCAAAGCAGCAGGTCAACAAGCCCTAAACATGTCCCACTGGAGAAGGGACAGTCCCAGCAAAGGCTGGCCCTGTCACCAAACCTTGTGGTATTCCTGCTGCTCTGGAGAATTCAATTCCTGCAGTCAGGAAGATGGATAGTGCCAATGCACAGCATTTAAAAAGAAAAATAAAAAATTAATTCTTTTTCATGCACAAAAAGGATGGAGCACACGGCCTTGGAGTCAGGCACAGAAAATTCACTGCTGCCCCATCATCCCTTGCCTTGGAGCCCGTTCCAGGCTTACAGTAATTCCTATTGCATATTCTTCCCATCACACCATTACACAATGTCTCATTCTAGAAGAGTTATGAATCTGCTGCAATTGTCTAAAACTTTGGGTCACGTGTTGCAATTTGAGCATCTGCAGCTTCCTGAGAGGAGCGAATTGGGCCGGTCCAGATTTCACCTTCCATTGCCACGAATCAATTTGTGCAGTTGGCTGAGGAAGCACATGGCTAAAATCTTGGCTTCCTCTTGTTTCTTCTTTCCTTTTTTTTTTTTTTCCTTCCCTTTTATTTTAATTGACTTACGAAACCAGTGACTTTCAGTTTGTCTCTTCTGGCGGTTTCTGATTGTTCCGTGTTTTTGTCTTTTTCTGCTTTGTTAAAAAAGGAACCATTGCAGATAAAGGAATTGTGGTTATGCAGCTGCTCGGGTGTCTGATAACTTCTGTGATAAATAGGGAAGCATTGTGGTGCTGAGCAAGGTGCAAAGCCATGGAATGGTATCTCCTCAGAGTTTTAAGTAGGCAAATATATCCAAATTAATATGTACCTGTAGGAACTCAGATTTATATGTAACTGGCCTAGAATTTATTAGTTCAAACATATAACTTTTCAAATATAACTTTTCAAATTATTCACTCGGGAGCTGACGTAGCATAACACAAACCAGAAATGCCAGTAAACCTGCATCAGTGATCTAAGCCTGTGCAGGAGAACCACTTGTAAAATCCTGTGACTTGTGTTTTCTGACAATGTAACGTTTGCAATTTCCCAGAAAGTCAGATGATGCATTTCCGAAAGTCGGTGCTTGAGGTGGAATAATTTCTTGAAAGAGATTGGGTCATTGAGCTCTCAGGATCTGAGGTAAAGGCTATATAAAGCAGTCTCTTAGGAGGGCTTGTGGCAGAACTGCATTGTTAAAGGTCACAGCACAGTGGGGTGTGCTGAGCGAGCTGACCGTACCCACACAGGCACGGCAGTGCATGGACTGGGTATTCCTTAGGAAAATCACTCCCTGTGCAGGAGCCTGCCCGGCTGTCTGCTTGGATAACGTGGTGGGCAGCCCCTGCTGCCGGGCTGCACCCTGCACTGGAGGAGGCCCAGCATCCCCTCAGCCCGGGGGAGGGTTCTGGGCAGCCCTGGCACAGCCAAGACTCTGCTGACGGAAGGGAAACTGCTGACCTTGCAAAGGCTGTCCCTGCAGTGCCTCTGGCACAGGCCTCGTGGCTGGGCTCCCTCTGCTCTTGGAGGAGTTGCTATTTCGGGCACCCATTGCCTTCAGCAGTGCAGGTGAGGGGCAGCACATTCCCCGTCCAAAATAGAATAGCCTGAATTATTAATCCCTGTGTGCACGCCCTCCCTGAGCTGCATGGCTCAGGCCTTTCCTTCCTCCCCTCTGGGAAGCAGCCTGGTCCTTCAGGGAGTAACTAATGGGGTCATGCTGGCGGGGATGATCCTGTTTCCTCACCTGCCCTCAGTGAGAGGAAGTGCCTCTTGCTGCGGAGTTTGTGGAAAGGTGACACCGGCCACACGAATTTCACTGGACCTGAGGAACAGGCAGGGTTGCTTTTCCCGTGGAGCCTGAAATTTTAATGGCACAGATTAAATTACGGAACTTCTCCGCTTACTTGTGTCAATGTAACACTTTATACTGAGCCCAGGAAAAAAAGGGCAGGGGAAAAGTAAATACAGGAGACTTGCCTCCTGAATAACCTGCAGGTGAGAGAATGATTTCCTTAGCGTAGGATGCCGGTACTGACTTTTTGTCCTTCAAACCAAATGCTTCAAACTGTACTTAGGAAGTTGCTTTTTGTGTCCCCCTGCATATCCTTGGTCCAACACATGCACTAAGGCACACGAGCTCCTTACTGCTGCTTTGGAATATCAGCTCACTTGGTGCTTCCTGGCTTAGGTGCAGGTGCTTGGCAGGGCTTTGGTGCTGTGCCAGCCTAGGGAAACGAGGCTCTGCCCTCTCTGTCCTGATATGACGTGTGGAAAAGACTTTTCCCACTGGGCTCTGAGTTTGATAGTTTTATTTTCCTATGGGGCACACAGGCACGGATCCCTGATCCTGCAAAGCGCTGCTTCTGACTCAAAACTATATGGTTAGTGCTGAATTCCTGCTATACGCCAGTCTTTTCCTAAGTCTGGATCCTTCAAACCGCTTTCCACGGATCAGCTTCTGCAAAGGTTTGGAGTTTTGCTGAGTTTATGGAAGCAGAGGTGCCTCGTCCATTTAACGCTCACTGAAGGGTGCTCATGGACTGTGGAGTGTCTCAGCCTTGGGGAGGGACTGTGACCAGTTATCCAGCTTATCCAGGGGTGGAGAAGAGCAGTCCAAAGGGGCACAGTGTCTGTGTGTCTCCTGAAGACACGTGCTGGCTGCTCAGCTGAGCTCCCCCCAGCCCCACAGCTTCCCAGAAACAGTTAATCATTTAGCAGGAATCACTTACTTAATACTTACTTGTAGGAGTTGAATATTGACTTTAGGAAAAGCAGATGGGACACAGGTCTCAGGGGACTGCATGATGGCAGACTGGGTGACAGTGCTGAAATAACCCACGCCTAAGGCGTGTCCCTAAGCACAGCTGGATTTGGGAGCTGGGCTTCCAGAAGTTCTCACTCTGGCAGTAAAGGGGAATAGATCTCCTGAGTACTGGGCTATTTAGGAAGAACCTGATGGAAAATTTCTAACCATTGCAGCATATAAGGTATTCAGGTATCATTCATGTGGTAAAAATGATAGACACAAGAAAGGCACTGTCAAATAAAACCCCATCAGATTTCCTTCTGCTGGAATCTGAAACTGTGTGTAGAGGGAAAGAGAAGGATTTATGTCTATGGATGGAAAAAAATCCAAAATAGAAAGATCAGGGATTGCATGTCCCATGATACCTTCTAAAAGGAAACGGTATGGAGGATGTGGAAATTTCATGGAGTAAAAATATCAACCCACCAAGGAGAGCTCAGACTACGCTTGCGAAAGGCTGAACTGCGTGAGGAGGTTTATGGCACGTTGTGCAAGCCCGTAACCTGCTGCCCTGGCCAAGATCTTTCCATGAGGAGGTGTTACAGCTCAACTCGAGAGCAGGCTAAGAAAGCAGAGATTGCTCACACCGTAAAAGCAGGAAAATCATCCCTCTGCCTCCCTGCTCCGTGTGCCGCGGAACAGAGATAAAGTGCTGCTTGTCTCAACTGCACTAAATCCCAGATAAGTGTTGTTTACTTCACCCCTCTCCAAGAGGAAAGGTCGCTCGTGATCTCGGTGGAGCTGCAGCAATTTCCTCCTGGCAGCGCTCACCTCTGGCCCGGCCTGGTGGAGCTCCAGAGCCTCTGCTCCCCTCCTTGGGGACACGCCTTAACCCTGTCCCTGCCGGCCCTCGCCCCTCTGCCGGCCCTGGAGCTGGCTCTGAACACACAGGCAGGGTCTGAAACAGCAGCGAGATGGTGACAGGCTCACAGGAACACCTCTGGTCCTAAGGAATGGTTCACAGAGGGTGCAGTCAGGGTCATTTGTTCCTGCGAGTTACAGATGAAGTGTTCTCCCACCTGAAATAAGAGTCTCTGTTCTCCTCCTGTCCTCTCCCGGCTTTCTCGGGTTCATATTGCCATATATTTAACCTAAACTCTTTTTTTGACTCAACATTATGTTCATATTTTCGTTTTTCTCTCGCCTTGTCCTTGCTCTTTATCGCTGGAAGGAACAACAGACGAGGAAGGAAGGAAGGAGCTGGCTGGGATCGCCCTTAGGCTGGGCTTTGTTAACATCGAGGATGACCACTGGGATTGTCTTAACCCTGACAAACCAGGCTGTGTGATACCTTCAATTCTCCTTCTAAAGAGAAGATCTCAAATGCTTTTGTACATGAGAAGGAGAACAAAAACCCCTTCAAAATGAACCAGGAACACACAAAGCCACCGCTGGCCACTGATGTTACACACATTCTCCCTTCTTTTCTTCCTTTGCAAATGAAGGGCTGCAGAAAGCAG